CGCCAAGCCAACCGCGTCCGTTTGTCGCGCCGCCATATCCGGTTTTTCCAAGGCGAACGGGCAGCGATTTTCTTTTTTTTTTTTTCAGCGAATGTATAGCTATATTCGTACGTGAAATTGAAGATTATGGGAAATAGAGGATTTCGATGATGTATAGATATAGTAAAGGCTAGCATGAAGTTTAATTGAATGCATCTGTATACGCTGGGACTAATCGATTGATATTGGAAAGTTCGATTAAATTGTACATCGTTGGTCGATCCGCGGTTTTGCGACTTAACGGTTGCAGAATGAGGAACTGTATTAAGGAAACGATAGGCCATTGCCCATGAGGACACGGTTCAAAATAAGCAACTGTTTTATTATAATGTTAATGTAAAAACCTGACGGGGATCGAGAAAGCACAGTAGCCAATGGCGATCAGGCGTGTAATGGCTACCGGTCAATTAACACCTGCAGGCTCTACGTGACGCGCTTGAAATTGGACTTTTTGTTTCCAATATCAATTCCAGGGACGGTACCAACCTTTTAATTGATCGAGCACGATCAAAGCGATTCGAGGAATAATACTGGCTTCAGGGCAAATACTGGTATAACTAACTATTTTTATACTCTGAAGGTATAAAGAATTAAATGGATACAATTTTTTTTCATATTTCCCGCGCTTTGAAATTTAGCTAAAAATCAACAGTAGGATGAACTTTCAGACGGTAAGACGACTAGAGGAGACGTAATAAGAGAATTGGAAGAATGAAGGATAAAGGAAAATTATTTCTTACAAAAAATCGCTTCCAAGGTTCCAGTTCTTGGTTTGTACGTAATTTCTCATAGAGACCGCCTTGAATATAAAAAGTAAATCGATCTTCAGATTCCATGAGTTTTTCGTTATACGAGAAATGGCTATTTCGTGACTATGCGATCTTCCACGAGGTCCAAAAGACCTTAATAAACATGCCAGTGTTTTATCCTCTATCCCTATGTCTATTTATTTAACCACCTAAATCACATTCGCTCTGGTATACAGTTTTTCCATATACTAAAACGTGTTCGATTTAATTTGAAGTTAACGGGAAATGACACGACAGTCCTTCCTGTAGATAGAAGGGGTTAAGTGTCGACGACCCTAAAAAGAAGAAAAAGTATTTTTAAAGAAATCTCTATCGCACCAAGTCGCCGGTCGGTATTTTCCTTAACGGTAAATCTATCAGCACCATTTCCGCCCATAAATACCCATTTTGCATCTCCCACCGTCTCAAGTCATCAGCGACACGAAGATAGACACGAATCCAGGCCAATATTTGTTCCTCGGGAATAATTTGCTTTTCCTTCACCTGCCGGAAAAGAGCAGCGACTCTTCGCTTACCAGTAGGTACATTTCCGGTTCCGTAACCGTGTTAACGTAGCGCCAAGCTTTTTCGTTCTTCACTTCGTATCCTTTCGCTTCTTAGATTTTTCTTTAAACCCCCAACGCGCCTGTCAGTAGGCAACCAGTTACGCTGACGGTAAGGTAGAAACAAATCTCTTGTATAGCGGTTTGCCTATCGTCAGGCGCCTTTCATCCACACTTTTTTTTAATAACACAATTTTTCGTTATTTCTATGCAAGCAGACTTTTACGTCAAAAAGTGATAAAATTTCTAAAATATAATTGTCTTCATTAGCTTATATAAATACATTTCTAAATAAATACTCTTTAATATGAATAATAATCAGTCGCGTGGCAGGACAAGAGCAACGAAAAATTTAATTTTAATTAATAATTCATAGTGACAATAAAAATGAATTTCAAGAAAATAAAATTTGACGCGGGTCAAGAGTGACGGTGGGAAGAGGGGGTGGCAAAGGGAGGGGGAGGGAGGTACGCACCATAAGAGTGAGAAAGTTGAAAAAAAAGGAAGATGAAATCAAGGGGGTATTTCGATTGCCGGAAGCTGCCCATCTTCGGGGAGCAATTCGGACGCGCAGTTACCGACGTCGTTCGCATAACTTTTGCAAACGCTCTTGTTTCGAACTAACGTGAAAGTTAAGCGATGGATCACTGGGCGAAACATCCCACGGGTATCTCTCCTGCTCAACTTCAGGATAGATTGCGTTAGTGCTCCCCGGACAGCCCTAGGCGATTAGGTTGAATCTCCCTATAGCACGGCAGCCTCGTCCACTCTACGGAAGGATAGCCAACCGCGCAGCAACTAAGCAACCAAAAGTATATCAGCCAGCAAGTAAACCGTACAGAAGTAAGATGACGTCCGTGACTCTAGCAGTTTAACAAAAACAATACCTACCCTTCAATGGCCAAACGTATTAAACAATGACAGTCTATACACGTATCCTCATAAACCCTATCCCGTCCTAAGATGATCGCCGATGGTTATCGAAATCCCGTATTTTCCAGTTGCGTCGCCTGCGACGCTTCCCGACGATCCAAATATGAAATAGGTTTGCCCCGCGGTTGCCCCGTTTCAATTTCAAGCTCAGCTCGCGAGCGCGCAACTCAGAAGCTATTAAACTTGGCTTTATCGCACGTATGAAATCTCTGCCTTCGCCTATACAGCGAGAGGCGGCGAGTCTGGCGAAGGACGTTATAGCGAGTGAGAGAAATCGAATAGACAAGGAAGAAAATGAAGAAAGCTAGAGAGAGACAAAGTGTGTATGCGCATATATATATCCACACACAAAAGCTCCTAGAGATATAAGAAGAAAGTGAGGAGGAAAATACAGGGAAGAGAAGGGACGAGGAGCGAATGGGAATACGGTACGATAGAATGGGAACGAGAAACGGGAAGCCTAATGGAGTCAACAAACAAAAGTGAATCGATTTGAAATAATGGCACGCAGCTCACAAGTTCGCAAATTCAGCCGCTCGCCGGTGCTGCCGCCCGCGCGACAAATAAAAGCACTCAGCGTGAGCGGCTTTATCCTTATACAACTGTCAGACGTCTTAACACCTCGGTACCCCTGACTCGCTCAGAGTTCCTACGGGCGTCACGCGCTCTCTAACCGCGCTACACTTCACTCCAAGAACTCTAGATACTTCGAACGTGATCGCTTAGATTCCGTGGGTTAAAAGCTTTATGGAACTCATTTTCGTTAACGTTGCCGGCAAAGTGTCCCTTTATGATAGGCTACGTGGCTTCTCGCTATGCTCGACTGTCCTATCTTTACCGCAGTCAGTATCTCTTATCAGTATGAGAGTGTCCTTTAAACTCTTATAAAATCAGTTTTTACCCACTGCCACGTAATTGGCGTGCACAGCTCACGGCACTGGAGTGTAGGTTATATTATGTTTACAGTGTTATGGCGCAGTAGGAAACTAAATATGACGTAAGTCTACCTTATGCTAACGAACAATCCTGTTTCGTCTATAACGTCCTGAGAATGTTTCATTTTCGAACTGACTGAGTCCTCTTAAAGGGAAAACCCATGGGCGAGTTTACAGAGAGACAGAAAATCCGTAGCGTTCGGTGACGCTTGACAAAGCGGGTCACTTCCGTTTTAATCAAAGAAAAAACTCTGGATTGGATCGGAAATTAACCGATGCAATCATCATGACGCTTCGGTACTTGAACGTAAATGAAATATATATAACGCAGACTTCACTTCCGTCTCAGCTCGTTTGCTGTTTCTCCAAGTCCTGCCCATACACAATTTCTCCTCTACTTCGTATATGCACAGTCGGTATTATTAACGCGAGCCACGTCATTCCAGTGGAGCCACTAAAGAAATTCTTGAGCAACAGTGGCAATTGCAAGAACTAACTAAAGGTTCAATGGAGGGATGGTTTAGAGTGTATAGCAAATTAAGCCACCTTCCCGACTCCCCCTACTGGAATCACGAGTAATTCGTCCATGGAAAATCCTCGACTCGAACCACTCGAGCAGTCGCGAGGTTCAATTATCGAATCCTCGAGTTGAATTGATTAAAATCAAATTGCACCCCTTCGAAGCTAACGGGTGGACCATATATATCTCTATAAAGGACTACCGATCAAGAGTGTCTACTGGGCTTGGTTCAAGGCTGTATTAGTATTATTAGTAATGATAGTGTAGTGGTACAGTACAAATGAGTGTATAGAGTGAGATGAGACCAGATGAGAGAACGGAATGGTTGGTGCCAGTAGGAGTGGGCAAACAGCGCGCAATTAACGTGCGGCCATTAAATATGTACGCGGACGGGTGAGCGGTAGACGCGTGTGCGTGATCACGGGGCATAAATGCATTGGGGATTGAACTCATACGCGTGCACGCTCATCTTCTGGTGTTGGCACAGCCGCTTGATTAGTTCCGCCATATTTACATATCATTAGCCGATTGTTTGTTCGAACCGGAATTCCCTCATTCCTTCATTTCCCTTCCTATACATCCCGAGCTAGTTAATTCCTCCTGATATACCACACGTAAGCTCCGACACTTAATGCATTCAATTTATTGGGAAAAAATGTTTTTATTAAAAAAAAAATATTTAACTTTTTTTTTGGAAATGGAAAAAAGCTGATTTCGTTAATTTAGAGAATATGGTTGCGGGTATTTGGAAATGTTTTTTTTTTGTTTTTTCTTTTTCGTCCGTTACGATCGATAGGTAATTTATGGATGATTGTGCATGAAATTGATTGTAGATAATGACAGCACTTGGAGACGAAATCGCGTAGAATGCAAATACTGGGTGGGCTAATTGATTCCAATTAGGAGGATGGTAAAAAAGTGTAACGAGTGTTTGAACGGGTACGTCCAAATATTGAATTATCCATCTGTGGCGCAACGATGGGGGTATCTGGGAGGGTTTGAATACTTGGCTGTGGATTAATTAATCAATAGGTTCGATTCAGTCGGTAATAACGTAGCTCGGGGGGAAAAACATTTCTGGACGCAGTCGGTAAGGATGTTCTGCATTAGGACATTTGGGAAATGGGTATATACTGTTTACGTTGAGCCTTGGTCATGAATTAGGGATACAGTCATTATTCAATACGATTAATGATAGTGACTATCCAATCAGAGCCTGCAATCATTTAAATCACTTTATTCATAAAAATACGAATTTCAATTTGAATCTCATCAGAGCCTACACTGGATAACAATTCACTTTATTCTTCCTCGCGCTCGCTCTTTCACTTCATCCTTAAGAATTCTGTGGCATCGTCATTCTTTTTTTTTCTTTATACTAAATAATCGTAATAAATTGTGTCACGCAGTCGCGTGTCAATTCCATAATTAAGAAGAAAAAAATATTCGGAAACGAATAAAAAGAAAAAATACGTCTGTTTATCCCTACAGTTACAGAGAGTACACGTAACTTTCGTGTTACCCGAACAAATTGTATGAAAAAGAAAAAAAAGAAACTATGGAGGAACCAGAAACGAAAAAAAAATGAAAAGTGACGAAGAGAAACGTGAAGGAAAAAAAAATTAAAAAAAAAACAAAAAATAATTCAAAAGTAACCTATACGACTCTCTTGTATTAATTTGTGACTGGTATCGCCCAAACGGAGTAATATTTACAGGCATTCGTATATCTATATCTCCTAGTTTTCGGAACTGTATTATTTTCCCACGATATTTTTTTTTGATTATTTCCTTTCGGTGATATTTCAATAAATATTACGCTACGTCATTTCCTTTCTCCCACGGGTTCTTGTCCACGGCAATTAAACGGTACAAGGATACACCATTATTATTATTCTCGTACTTTTTCTTTTTTTTTTTTTTTAAATAACTATTAAGGCAGTATGGCAATATGGCTTGGTTTGCGTAGAATTAGGCGCACAGTAGTTCTCAATTGCACGCGTCACTTCCATAATCGCGGAAACCATTTAGTATCACCGTCATTTATACGCATAGATCAACATACACTTTTACGTATCATCCCCAAGATTGTTTTTTTTTTCCTACGCAATCATCCCTTCGCATATATGTGCTTGTTTTTTCAAAGATACGGAATCACTCTCCAATGACTCTTATTACCGAAAATACAGAAACGATTCTTCTATTAGTTTCCGTGGAACAACCCTGAATTTTTCTCTGGACCTCTACTGTAATCGGTCCTCACTTTGGTCAGGATACTTATTTAGATTACAAGTATACATCCCGGATAAGTATTATCTTTCTTCTTGTATACGTCTTGTACGGCGACTCCAGTTGAAAGAATAAGGAGGCTGACTGGATATCCGCCATTTCTTATTCGCTTAAACCCTCGACTTATTTCATCATTTATCTATTCATTTGGCAAAAGAAAAACAGTCATTATTGCCTATGTAAAAATTGCTAGGACGACTCGGCGAGTCATTAGGATCTTAATTATAATCCTAGATCGCTGCGAGCCGTTATTATAATCCACATTATTTCAATATAGTAGAATATTCTCCTTCACAATTGTGCTCTTGCATATCCTGAACTTAACCTAGAGAAACGCATTGGAATAATATTCAATGCGATGCTGGAGCAGTCACTATAGTATGTATATAATAAATAACAATAGTCAAAAGCTATACTCGTTAACGCACTACAGTATTATGGTAACGGGAAGTAATGTCAATCTTATAAAGTCTTTTACACATGCACTTCCCTGAACATATCAGAGGATCATTAACGTATCCTGACAGAGCTTAGGTACTCTTTACCTATGATCGATAGAACTGAATAAAATAATTTGGACGTGTAAAAAGAGTATACGTCCGATAGAAAAAAGAAAACAAGAAAAGAAAAAATTTAATCGAGAGACTCATCCTCGAACTAGGGATGTTATATCAATATAATATTCGAGAACGTTATTATTTTCCTATGATTGATTGTGCGTCGAATAAATTTAACTAGAAACAATTTAACGAGCGGCATCGCTTGCATCATTAGCATTCAGTATGACAGATTCAAACTGTTCCAGCACCTGCATACTTTCGGTTGACACAGCTGTGTTGTTCATTCCTAAACGTTCCCTGATTTCGCTACGAGTCCTAATTACATCCTTGGAGTCCTCCGCAGAGTCCTCGAGCGCATCTGGGAACCGATGCGTAGACCCTTTACTATGCTGGGGCCTTACTAAGTCTTGTCTCTCGGTATCAGCCTTGTCTTCAGGAACTGAGAGCTCTCTACGGAGCTCGGAAAGATTACTACGTCCTGGTAAGCGTCGCTCCAGGTCACCATCTGCCGAATTTCTACGCGGATGAACATCGTCATCGCGAGTCCGCCTCTGGGAATTCTTAGTCTGATTCACGTCATAGTTCATCTCACCAACTGTGCCCTTTATACCGGTATTATGAAACTGCTCCAGCAGTACGAACTTTTTGTCTAGAACTGTATCCATACTGGTACGTTCCTGGTGAATCAGGGTACGTGGCAGCTTGCCTTCGTCGGTAAATATTTCATGTCTGTGTTCCTCCGAGCTGTCTAGACTCTCCTGCTGACACTCAAACTCGACTTCCTCTTCGTCACAAGCTACCGGGTCATCCGATGGCTCGTCGTAGTCCTCTTCCTCGTCCTCTTCTTCTTCCTCTTCATCGAGAAGACCATTCTCATCGGAATCTACCGTCGTTACACTGGTTAGCTTTGCTCTAAGTGGCGCTGGTAAATGCGCTTCTTCCAATTTCACGTGTTCCCCGTGCTTTCCGCTAACTGAACACTCAAGCTTCCCACTGATTGATTGGGGATTACCGTCCTTATCGAGTTTACGGAGGACGGCGCACTCCTCGTCGTCGTACTCGGCGTCGTCGTCGTCGATATAATCCTCGTCGTCGTCGTCGTCGTCGTCGGCATCGTCATCATCGTCGTCGTCGTCCTCGTCGTCGTCGTCATCGTCGTCGTCTGGCGATTCTCGTGATTCCGAGCGAGTATCACCGGAGACGAGATCGGTCCGTTGATGGCCTGAGAACAATGAGTAGAATAGACTGTTTGAGCGCGACCTGTCCCTCGCAGAGCACCCATCGGGGACGACGACACCGTCTTCCTTGCTGTTTGACTCCCTTGGAACTTCCAGTTGTTCGAGAGACACGTCATCGCCGAGTTGTTGCTTACTGTCTCTGTTAATGCACAAGATTGTCTCTCGCTTTTGAGGGATTCGCAACTCTTTGTGTTTTGAGCTCCCCGATTGACTGACGCTTTCCGACTTTCGACCGTTAAACGTGTCTGATGACTCGGGACGGTCGTTGTGCTTCCCTGAGATTGCGAAATAGCCTGTTTCTGTGGGACTGAGTCTGTGGAGCGCTGGAACGCTACGATTGGCAGACTTTTTCCTACCCCTTGTATTGTTATTATCGATGGACTCGTGGGGCGCGTCGGTGTGCTTTCCACATGAGCCTGAATTGGAAGATCGTTGGACATGCGCAACTTTCGACTGATCGTCAATCCTTGACTCGTTGTTGGTTGCACTTGACTGCTGGTGCTTGCTAACGGATTGATCTTGGATTTCTGATTGACTACTGAGATCTGACGTGTTGCCAGTGGCTGCAATTGTGGCGGCGGTGTATTGCTGTTGCTGTTGCTGCAGTCCACGCTTTCCGTGCAGCCCACTTGGCTCTGAGATTTTCTTAACGATGAGATAGGATTGATGCTTTTCCGATTGGTTGCTGCTGTTCCCGTTGTTGCTGGAATTGTTGACGGACAACTGGTAGGCGTAGGACACTTGGGACTCCGACTGGACGTAGGAGACACTCGACTGACTGGTGAGCTGATTGAGAACGACCGGGGGGTAGGTGTTTTCGAATTGTTCCCGGTTGTCGGTGGCTGTTGGACATGTGATGGTTCCTGTACTGGTAGTGGTGGTATTGTTGTTAATACTGGCATTGATGCCTGAGGTGATTTCTTGTCCTGCGGCGTTGGTGGTGATTGTATTGGCGGTGATTGGGATGAGGAAGGTTGACGATGGAAGCTGGTTGATGCTGAGGACGTTGGACAAGAGGTGTTGTCTCTTGTTAGCTGCATTAGTTTTATAAAGTCCACGAGTCGCTTTATGGACCTCTGTGTCTTTTCCTGCTTTCCCAGCAACTCCTGACGCGTACGATGCTGAGCCTGCGAGCACAGTTAAGAAAGAGAAAACTGTCGTTAGCTGTTAATAGTTTGATGTCCTAGCTACCTTAAATTTACTATAGATTAAAGACAGGATTTACTATAGATTAAAGGAATTAACAGAATTTCGCGAATTTACGATATCACATTTACAACCACAGACATGCTCGAGATAATGCAAAAAATTATAAAGGGATGTCCAAAAGATTGTAACGCGCAATACAATCGTTACTCGAGCATTGTGGAATCATATTTCAAGTCAATATTTGTAACATAATATTCATTTTTGACGATCCCATGACCAGTATTAAGTACCACATGTAATTATTAAAAATATTAGAACAATGAAATATGTGAATGTATGAATCTATGTCTTTAGAAATGAATGAAACAAATCTATCGCCAAACAGTACAAAAGCGGATAAATGCTGCTAAAGCAATTGTAAAAAAGAGCTATTTTGAATATCAGGTAAAAAACGAAGTTTCTCTCCATCAAAGAAAAACGATGTACTACGAACAATAAGTACTACGGTAAATGATAGATCATCATTGAACAAGCGTAATATATAAACATGATTAAAAAATCTCAGGAAAGTAAAATCAAGTGATTACATTGCAAACGCAAATGGGTAACATAGAGTAACTTTCCATGGGTAATAATGTAATTAAATGAATTAATCAATGAGCGAACGGACAAACGAACGAACGAAAATACATGGAGATCTTGCAGGTACTTCGAAAGAAAAAGAAACTGCACATATGTGCACCGTTCAAGAAAAAATAAAGGACATTCCAAATAAATAAAAAATGTCTTTAGGTTTCTTTCTCTACACAGGCCACAGGACGAACCTGAAGTGATTGGCCGAGTAGTTGCGAGCGCTTTTCCAACTCGTAAACCTGCAATCTCAGATCCGAGTTTCGCTCGCGCAGCTCATATCTTTCTCTCTCTTTTTCCTCTGCAAGACATTTTGCGTTCAATACGTAGGTTTTTGGCCAATTTGATCAACGAAAAAGTTCTTCGTTTATTGCAAATTCAATACTTTCACGAAAGGAAAGAAAAAATTATTGGATTCGCTTGAAAATAAAAAGAACATGGCATCTCTCAGACAGTACAGAGCAAAGAAAAAGGAATAAGAAACTTATGAAAAAGATATTATCTGCAGAAAATAAGAACTTTTTTGTCAATCGCACGTATGTAATGGTATACAGAACTGCTGATGCCTCGGACTAGCCGAGGACGGATTACCGAGCTCGTCATCCTTCTTGCAAGACATCGCAGGCCCATCCTCGCGATCCTTGCACTTTGGTGCGCATTTCGGACACGTTCTGGAAGGAGCCGGCGATACCGAATGGCAGGATACATGATAGTTAGCCGAACAGTTGTCGCAAATGGTTAGAGTTCCTAGAAGTAGATAATTCCATAGTTTCTAGATTAGAATAGAAATGAAACATCGATAAGCATTATCTAATCAATTATCTCCTAGAATTCAAATAACTTGCCTGGATTTCTACAGTGTATACAGACTGAAGAATCATTCTCAATCCTCTCTATAGTTAAACTGGAAGGCAATCCTGGTATGTGAACTGCCTTGCTACCAACCGATTGAACTGATTTTGCAGAAGGCAGTTGTACTTGACTGGAACCATTTTCCAGTTTACCCTTTCCTGGGAAGACCTTACTCTCCTGAGCATTTCGCAAGATATTGGGACGCGTGGTAGCCTTCTGCGTGGGTATCAGAGACTTGGTTGGCGTCCTCGTAGAAGGTGAGGACGATTTCGGCGGCGACGTCTTGCTTGGTGGTGGCGAAGGTCCATTCAGTCTTGCTGTCGTTTGGCGAGTTTGCGGTGCATTTCCAGCTGACTGAAGATAAGAGTATCTCTTACGTTTCTAAAATTAACACAATAATCAGCATTCGAGGAAGAATCCTTGCAAAGCACTTACAGCTAATTCGAATAATGATAATTACCGTGGGAATTTCCCAATTAGAATAAACAAACTGTGGATTGGCCGTGCTCCTGCGTTTTCTCTCAGCGCGTTTATTCTGTAACTCTGTGAATCTGTCTATGGTGATGAGACCAAGATTACCCAGGAAGGTCGTTTGTTCCATAGATTCGATCTTCTTCTCGACTGGATCTTCTTCCGGCTTCTCGTGTGAATTCTCATCAAGGGACACCTCGATGACCTCATCCTCACCAGAAATAGTTTCCACGGAGTAAGGTCGTTCCCTATGTTATCATAATAACTGCTAGTATCCAACTCATTCTTATAGATCAAATTAATAATTATTAAACTGTCATACTTGGCCCGATCATTTTCTTGAGACGTGGGAGATGGAACATCACCATTATGCACAACCTCCTCGTAATCGTCTTTCGATGTTCGCCTGCTGATTCCATTGATTTCCTTAGATTGGGCGAGTTCGCTCCTGTCTTCATTGTTGTTGGTGATGTGATTGTTATTGTTGATACCCAGGAGCGAGGCTACGGAAACTTTTGCCCCGTTCACGTTATCCGCTTTGAAATCCTCCACTTCCTTGCGCAGGCGCTGTACCACCTGCTTCTGCGTAGAAAACACGAGAACAAAGTTTTAGCCACGAGCCAGAAACTGAGAAGAAACTTTAGGATAATGGTCCAAGAGAGATCCGCCAGGACGAATGCTTGCGCTTCGCACGATTTACCGAGGATGTCTTTAGGATCAAGAAATAGTTTTTTTCATATCTAACAGATAAGCCATTCCCCTATCCAGGTAATGCGATGTCCTCTGGGATTGCACAGGTCATGTTAGGAGGATGGTCCAGGAGTTACGAAATCGATTTCAGCGCACTTTGATACTGAACGACAACTCTGTCTAATGTCGCAACAGACACAAGACGTATTGCGTCGTCCTATTGAAATGTTATCATTGAAAAATAGAAAAATGAATAAAGATCTACCGCGCCTCGAGAAAAACGATTGTCCGTGGCGAGAAGCGGCGACAATTCGAACTAAAAGCATACAGAAATGCATCATGGGTAAAGCGTACTTAAGAACCATTATAACTTTTAGACCGTCGCGTCGACTTTTCTACCCAGCAACTTTTTAATTCTTTCCCAGCATCCCTAGAGAGAGGTTGTCGCACGCGATATCACGATTCCTAGAATCAACTATCTATTCCAGATGAAGATTCCGCGGGGACTGACGATTCGCGTACCAATTACAGAAACAATTAGTCGTAATAAAAATTCACGTAAGAACCTCAAAGAGTGACACGTCGTCAATAAATTCGACAGACGGTCCTGAAACAACGTATAGTACAAAAACGTACCAGAGCCTAATGCAAAATCGAAGTGAACAAAAGTTCATAAGAATTACGAGTGACAGATCATAAGAGGAATCTTGGAGATTATAAACAATTCGTATAAAAACTAAGAGAACCCATGGAAGAGATTTTCAAGAGATGAAAACATCATTTCCGTGAGATATTTTATTGATTGAGGTCCTCCCTCGGTTGCTCCTCTGCCTCTACCACCTCCTGGCACCTCTTCCCCCCTCCCCCTCCCCCTCGTCTCTCTCACCTATCCCCGCGCGAGGGAAACATCCGGCAAAGCAGATACCAGCATCAACGGAGCAAGAGAGACAATCGACTGTAATAACAATGTTCATCAATATTACCAGGTGGTAATCAAACTGCCAGTAGATAGTAGCGCGCAATTAGATTCTACGCCGTTGCGTAAGTTTTCAACGTGAAAAAAGGCACATAGTTAACTTTCTCATAACTTTTGACAGTGTCGAGCGTTAACTTTGCGAACGTCCCGGAAAACTTAAGCGCGTTAGCAAACGCTCGAATAACGATTTTTAAGGTAGCTGCGCTGCGCCGCGCTCAGCTCTCGCAGTGCGACCATCGCATGGAAACTTGTGTACGGGGTCAGAAGTCATCGTACCTATACGGCACATACCTGCAGCACATAGGACGTGCTGATAGAGAATGCAATTATATGGACAGGTAAAAATACGTGAAAATGCTACATCGATCCATCCGATCAGATCATTTACTTGTCAATGTGTCGTCCCGTATATTGACGGGCTTTTCTGACCTTTTTCCATGGACCACGTACATCCGTGAGATTATCAAGAGAATAAAGAGAAAGTCGCTGACTCGACTCCTCTTGCCGTTGCAACAGATTTTATCAATATGAATGTTTTTTTTTTAAAGATAAAAAATGAAAATTTTATACTTTCGATATTTTTCATCATCTTTCTCTTTCGAGTGCGCAGTCGATAACGGAGGAGTACATTTGACCAGTATCTGATAACAGATGCATCCGTTGTAATTCTTGAGTCAATATAACGTTCTGGATGATTGCGTAGTCCGACTGGGTAAGGGGATGACGCAATATCTGTCAATTAAATGTATTATAATTTTTCACAACAAAACGAGTCCATGAGACATTGGGTACGATTGCACAGAAAGATGTAGACAGGTCGTTACAGAATTACTGTGCCCAGAGTCAATTCGGAAAATGTTCTCACTTCTATAAAAGCAAGCTCCAAAGTTTGATCTTTAGCTTTGGACCTCAGAGTTCCCTGAACGTTATACGTCGCCATACCTCCAATCCGTCTCTCTCGCGCTCAACTCCACGCCACGTACTTGCAACGAACGTAGCTGCGCCCCATTTCTATTTATAGTTACATTTCATTCCCACTTCACGCTTTTACAATGTTTCTTTTTCAATCTTATTAGCATACTCTGTTATTCTTTCTTATCTACACCAGAGCAACGGGTATCCATTCATCTAGCTACCAAAATCACGCTCCTTATAAAAGCCACCGGGTCTTACCGAGGTCCATATATAAAAAATACCCGGTGGTCAGAATGAATTCAATTTCTCTCCCTCATCTTCTCACCCTTAAATCCCCTCGCTGATCCTACCTGCCACAGTCAACATATTCCGTAACTGAACCACGGTTGCGATTATTCAATTTCAGCCAATTGCATCGATTTGATGTCGACTACTGAGAAAAATCAATCGATGTAATTCGTTGAAATTTAATAACCACAACTGCGGTTCGAATACGAAATGTAACCTAAGTAACCTCGTGTATCTTTTCTCCTGAGCCGTCTCTCTCCCTCCCTCACTCTCTCTCTCTCTCTCTTTCTCTCTCTCTCATCAGTCTCCCTGCGTTCCTGTTGCGCAACGTGGCATATATTCAAACGACGTCGATAGACGTCGCGCGTCCCTTTTACGAAGCACAAAGTTTAGGTCGATCTCCAGTACCAGATGAATTCTCTTATGTCCCGTCCCGTGAGGTTACCGCGCATGCGCCAACCGTTACCCTCGGCGCGAGTTTCAAAGTGGAGGCGCGCACTTGCTGCTCCTTGGACATCAGACCTAATGACACCGAGATACGCGAAACGACGAGGACGTCGTCTCTCCTACTCACCATCACCACCTCCTCCTCCTCCTCCTTCTCCTCCTTCTCCTCCTCCGCGCCACCTCGGGTTGGGCTTTCGACTCTCTTTCGCTTCCCTCGTTCTCCCTCTACGGAGCTTCAAGATCAATAAGAACCACCTTGGCCTCTCGCGTGCCCTGGTCCCACGTCGGATTGGTTGACGGGCCCAAAAGCTCACGACAATTGGTCGTTTCACTTGGTAACCTTTTAATGAAATTCCTGAACGCGTAACAAGACTATGACGTTCCCTCCGCTCCCTTGACATTAACGTTATTTCCATAGACCGCGTCGAACGTAAACAACACGAGTACACAATGTAACCAACCTCAGAAATTGTCAGCGCCAATGAGCGTTTATGGAGGATTCGCCCGCTTTTCTATTATTTATCTACTTTCGTCCGTCTCTCTTTCGCAAACTGTGCGCTGATACTACCCGTGCTCTTTTTTTCTCTCTCTTAGCTACGGCTTACGCTTCCCGTATCCTGCCCAACTTTGCCAACTTCGTTATAACGAGTCTGCTCGTTTCCCAACTCGGCGCATGTCTGCGCTCGGAAGCGATTTATCCTAAATGCTAACTGCGATTGTACGATTCCTTTTCAATTTTTCCTTTTTCGTTAAAACAAAATGCCACGAAAGTTTCTTTACCTCGGAATCTATTTTTCACGTGTCGTTGTTACGTCAATTTTATTTTATTCAGAGTCCCGGCATCTATGCTCGATACTTTTCGTACAGGCTGTAATACGACAGTTTGCGAGATCTTGGCTAATCTTATTACAACTCGATTTCTCGTGAGTCATAGGAGTTACCCTTGGTTAATCAGTGTTGTGGGGAAAAAAAAAAAACTTGTCTGCTCATCCGATGGCCATTCAGGACGTAAGATGAATATGGAGATTATTGTATGTATCAGTCGTGTGTACAAGCCGTCTAGCGACGCCACTACAGTCTACTAATTCAACAAATAGTTAATTTAGGACCACGCGGACGTCTCGTAACGATTCCTACCCACGCGTAGTAACGTGAGAAAAAAAGGCCCAGTGAAAGTACACCAAGTCGATAGAACGAAGTTACGTCCCGAATTACAACCGTATTTTCAGCGAGAGACCAAGAATTAGATATCTATCGTATGACTTTCGAAACTTCGATAAAATTAAATATCCCAACTGTTCCTTGATCCTAGCCAATGAGCTACCTTGTCAAGATCTCATTTTCAACCCTAAAACGTAAAAAAGATTTTTCCGAAATTTCACCAACCGTCAAGCTGATCACCTCTGTTCGAAGAGTCAACGAATGAATCGATCCAGACTCTTGAATCCGTAGAACGAAAATTCTCATATAAATTTTCAAAAGAAACACCAGCAATCAAGAAACGACAAGACGCCCGAAGGTGGGAGGGCGCAAGAAGCAGAGTATGCGATAATTAATTCTCAGATACAATTAATTCCTGGCGCAGGTTGCGCGCGCACCTCAAAACAACTATATACATATCCCCGTAACAAGAATATACGAGTCACAGTTGAGAGTCGCTGCGAAACGGAAAGCCGACCTTGCGGGAAGCGAGGTTTCCGCTCGAAACTTTCGACTCTGACAAACTTCTCTCGTCTAAGTATTTTTTTCCCTCGTATCTTTAACCACCTTCAATTTTTCGATCGCATTCATTCATTCCCTCTGGAACAAATAATTTACCTGCCACCTTAACCTCTTCAAAGTACTCGCTACGGTGTACGAATAATATTGAACTGCAAACACGTCACGTTATAGGAACAATAGTACAACGAATTGACAAGCTCGAGTTACACCTTCATGAGGAAACTGCTTCAGGGCTGCCGTCTTGGCAAAAAGCTTATACGCTTATTTATAACCTAAACGACGCGTGCTTACGGAGGATAATGCCGGTAAACGTGGCAGATGGAGTTTTCTAGGTTATCCGGGCGTGTAGTAACGCGGTGAGGCGCACGCTGCGCCCTGACCTTGTTACATCAGTGCCAGACGGATAGAGTTATCGGGGATTGTTTCATTTTTTCATCATGTTCTCTGGAGTAAAGAGAAAAAGGACATGTCGAATCTACATTCTAGATAGGAATTATCACCTCCAAGAATCATGATCACGGCAGTATTGATGTTGGTAAAGTAGGGATCCAGTCCAAGTAGCGAATAAACAAGACTGACGAGCAGAAAGAAAAAAAAGTATTACCAAATGAAGAAATGCATGTTGACTTACCTGGCATCTTCCCAAGGATACAATGTGCAGCTGAATTTCTTGTATTTGACCCAGAATATCTGTGTTCTGAAATCACATTGAACAATCGGTAAGTAGTTATTATTCTCTTCCACTTGCATGTACTGTGCATTGAAATGGTCACAGGGTGCAGCACAGAATTTTTATGATAAACGAGAAATCGAACGATAACTAGTAAGGAGTGAAGAGAAGGGAACGTACGTCGAGGATCGTTTATATTCCAGAAGTCTATTTTGTAGTAAATACTTCATGTATTGATATGACGTCGGACCAATTACAATGTAACACAAGGATTGACGGAGAACGACGGAAATGCAATTTGTCGTGATCGATCGTGACTGCGTCGCTTTCACGTTCTCTTTGATTCTGTCCAGAGTTTAACGGTAATTACACGAAAATTCATCTCGGTTTGAAATCTAACGGTTACTCCCATCCCTGCATGCATTAAGTTCACCAGGTTTGCCCAGGAGTAAAAACAGAAAGAACAAAACGGAAAGAAATCGACTAAAAGATTCTCTCCTTTGCCTTGAAAAAGTAAAAATAATCGAAGAAAACGAGAGGACGAAATGACGAAATAACGAGATGATATTGTTGCATTTCGTTAAATAATTAAGAGCTTTACTACTTACGTTTGGGTCATCCTTCAGTTTCCCGACGCAGATCTGCAATGGGAAAACAATGCGATCAATGCTTTTGTCTCTGGATAACTCGATCGGACTTGGTAGATTTCTAACTTATCGACTGAGCTTCGAGCCATCATAATAAACAATGATAAATACACCTGTAACGGTTAGTACAGTGGCGTGAACGTTACGTAAAAGACTAAAACTATGGTTATACCAAATGCATCGGTAGTAACAGAAAGTAAATCGCTCTTGATGTTCATAAATAATCCAATAGGTCAGAAACTATAGTAATAGACAAAAACGTTTACATACAATGTGACAGATATTCCACTATCTAACCTTACACTTTATCTATACCCTCTATGCAGTTCCGTAGCACGTAAACTTACAAACTGGTACCAGCTACCTTCGAAGAATACGTACTCTTACAGCGAACGTGACTAAGTTCACGACACGCGAGGTGATTCAGAATGATTTTTTAATAGATTTATTAAAGGAGAAGATCCAAATAATTACGCGGCAGAGATTCGAAGGGGAAAAATTTTTTTCGTAGCTCCGTTAGAAAATTTTTATGCGTTATAACGCGTGACGCTGAAATGATAAAAGACCGTTTCGTTATTTGCACGATGAAATGGCGATTCAACGTCGAAGAAAGTTGACGTTAAACGAGTAACAAGTTTTCCCGTAGCAATAAGTAACTCGTCGACATCTTCCCCACGAGTAACGAAAATTCTCTGCAATTAGGAAAAGCGACTGTCTCCGTGTAATACGAGTTGTACGCGAAGATTCGAACAAAATTTCATTATTTTCACGAATTCAAATTTATTGATTGCGCAATGGTTCTTTATTCAAGGGATACATGAGTATCCTTATCTTAAACCACAGTGTGTAGCGTATCAAGCTTTATAGGAGATGTAATAAGAAAATACGATTTGGCTTTTACGATAAGCCCACTCAACAGCAGCAATTTCTATCGTGCAGCGATTTAGCTGAACTTTATTTATTACCAGACAGAGATCGTTAAAAGAGTATCCCCGGTAACGTCCGAGCACGTCTTAATAGGATTGCCTAATTAAATAAAAAAAAGCCTTACTAAGTCACTGCGCATGGACAAAGAAACATAAATACCAAAACGCAGGAGCCTGTACGGAGGGAGATAACAGAGTCGTACACTCAACAAGATTTTATCCAGAGGGACGATATCAATTTCTCCTATATTGACAAACTACTGCATAATCACAAAGTGATATCGTGCCTCATCGTCTTATCGTTGACGAAACTGTACTATGCAAATATCTCATAACAATCGTTAGAAACGTATATACACACTGTAGATGCATATAGGCATAGTTGTATGTACAGTCAGAGTAATCCGAAATAAAGTGTATAACAAGTTGGAACTATCATTAATTTTGCGCAGCTGTCCTTTATTAGCAAACCATTTGAAGATTCGTTATGTCGACCATTGCGATGTAAAACTTTCCGCAAGGGAGCTCATTCTTCTCATTTAGAGTTCTCTATGGTTCATAACAGAAAGAGAAGCAAAAGAGGAAGTCGACAAGGAGAGACAAATTAAACTTTATAATATTAGAGTAAAAATATTGACAAAAATTTTAAAGATATTTGTCTACCGTTATTTTGAGTTACTTAATCATCTCATGCGCAAGACCTCTTGACAGCGTCAGGGCTCGTTCTCATAGAGCGACCAACAACTCTCTTTCGATCTGAAGCTCAACCGATACATGTAACTTGTCATGACGCGCGAAAGAAATCTGTAGCATATGATAAAAGCAAAAAAAATAATGAGAAAGAACAATAATTTTCGTTTTATTAACTTCTCAAAGATGCGTTTAAAGTGACTTGGTAGTTTGGTATAAAGAAGAAAAGTTGCGTTCCGCTTGGGTTCCTTGAGAACCGAGTTTTACCTTGAGACTCCAGAGACTTATAATACTTAGCATGTTATAATATTGAAAGAAAGTTATTAGAAATTTTGTTCGAATTTGGGAATGACCCGTTTGATTAAAGTAAATGGCAATTCAGTGGCGTTCCCGTCGAGGAAATGTAAAACATGAAATACAAAAGATTACAGCGAGGCATAATGGAGATACAAGAGTGGCCGTAAATCAATCGATTACCTGGCAGTGTCGAGCGTCGTAGCACAGGGCAAACTATCGTTCAAGGGTATCCCGTGAGAGACACAAGTACGGATATCGCGATCTAGTAAGTTAAAGCACGTCGGCAGATAATCAACTCATGAACTGTAGACAGTTATGGTACGCGTATAGTTCATATAGTTCGTAAAGCGCGTTCATTCTGTTTCTATCTCTCTCCCTCTCTTGCACTGACACAAAGATAGAACCCGAAAGTCCATACCCAAACTGCAGAAACTTGAGAATAATCAGGAATAAAGAGACATGGTCTACTAGGCCAGCACGCCTGGCAGTACTAACTTTTCCCTGGGGACTTAGGTAGACTTTAAGTGTAACAAGGATAGGAACATGATGGAGAGAGTGAATGAGTAAGACAAGGATAGAAAATCCCCTCTGTCTTCATTGTCCCCGCGACATCCCACGACGCTCACAGCACCGCGTAAAAGTTAGCCTGACAATCCTAATGCGATGATCTCACAGCAATAGCGAAGTCTAGACACTACGTTAAAGTGAAGCATAAACACAGGTATAATACAGAGAAAAGAAAATTAATAAAACTACGGAAAAGGCTCACCTGATGATCGCGTATGGCGTTTTTCAGCTTGCTTTGAACCGAGAGTATCTCCTCCTGGAGGGACTTCGATATCTCCATAGTTTCACAGGGCTCTTGCGAGGCGTTTTGCGCGTAGACACGTCCCGGTTGTGCCGGGCGATCTTTCGAGGATAGACGGACGGAGGAAGTGTGAGACTGAGAGGACGAGGCACACTGTAGATAGAGTAAGAACAAGAGAAAGAAAGAAAAATGACAAAGTTAACGAGAAAACAAGACTAAGAAGAAGAAAAACTAGCACTCGCAGTCTCGCGTTGCTCAAAAAAGATGAATTCTCTGACGAGCAACCAAAGACACAGCACGCACAGCACTTATTCTCTTAATATCTTGTTTATTCCAACAGCTTTTTCAATCCATTTGATTCTTTCCAGTTATCCCTCTATCGTCTTCGTCAAGGAACCTCATTTACTTCACTATTTGGGTCTCACATCTGTACCGAATGACGTTCAAACACGAAAAAGTCTATACACGTATATAGTGACAATAATCGGCACCAACACTATTTCTGACCAAGTGGTATTCGCTCCTTACGAGCGTTTACACGAGAACGTGTGCCAAGTTGCGCGAGGGATCACAGTCCCCACCAGAATATAGAACTGACTTCCCCCACCGCCTGATCACAAGAGCGCTCTGTGTTGCTACCAAAGAGAGTTTTCTTACCGTGGACGAATAGATACTGATTTTATAACAACGCGACTCTGCCGACTCCTCGACCCCGGACACGCACGCTTTCAGGTTAGGGTACGGTCTCGCCAAGGTTTCACGCCGGCGCGCGTACCCCTTCGCCTTTGGCGGATCGCAGCAGCATTCAAAAGAAATCTCTTTAGGCAGATGTTTTACCAATAATAAGAGAGCGCAGGGGTGTGTAGTGATGCCGGCGATCGTAGCGACATCGAATTGCGCTTACGGCACGCGAGGAAATGCACCATGCACGTATAGTAGCCATCTTTATTATAGATTCTAATGCGACAGCTATTTAAGACAGGCGCCCAGTTCGAAAGTTCTTGAAACTTGTGTTTGGTTATTACCGACTTAAAAGTTGAATTCAAAGAATATCGGTTGTTAGGATATTGATTAAGAATAGGGTACGGAAGCTTGGTTGCAGCGATAGAAAGTTTTATGTTAATGTCTTATTTCTTTAATTAGTAACTATTGAAGGTCGCAAAAAGTATAGACACACTATGGCGGCGAGCGGTAGTTTACTGCTGTTTTTAGAGCAATTTAGGATGTATTTAGTCCAGCCGCATCGAGCGTCGAAAAATGACCAATTACAAAGTAACTTTTACGTCACGTGTTATAAAGTCACGTTTTGATTGGTTGCTTTAATGAGTTGAGGCGTTCAGTCTGAAGCAGCCTTAATTCCAGCGCATACTCCATTGACTCCAATAGTTTCCCCCGTGCAGCGCTGTACCGATTTTCATATACACTTGCAATAATCGCGATAATTTTTAAAGCGCATCGTGATAATATAAATATTCTCATTAAGGTCTACGTTTTAAACAGTCACGGTAAGAGAAGTTCTTGATACGCGTTTAGAATTAATATCATATATTGAAAATGAACACTTAGGCTTGTTTTTTTATTTGATAGTTAACCTGAACACAGTATTTTTTGTTTGTGCTTTGACGTGCTTCATTCCATATCTCTTCGAAACCTTCAGAGATAAAGTGTTTTATCCGGAATATTTATATAGTATTATACAAAGATCCACGAGAACATGTCTAGATAGAAATTTGCATGATAAACAATTAAGGTCTAACCTCTCATGACAGAATAATATTCTGTTTGATAAGGATCAGGATTAAAATATCCTTCAGCTAATATTACTAAAACTATATTGCGTGAAATATTCACTAAACGCACTTAATTGTATGTAATAAAGTATTTGTAAAAATACTATATGTTTATATAGCTATGGCTAGCAAGCGGTCAGCAACCAGTGAATTAAATCATGATAATTGGAATCATGAGGATGTACCAGAAGAAGCAGGCACATTTCTAAAGGCAGCTGATGATATACTTGAGAAGAGAGTTATAAAGGCAGCCAGAAGAAGAATACCAAATTCGGGTGATGTATGTTAACGAAGCGTCTTATATAATAAAGATTGCCGAGCATGAATTAACTCAGACTTTTTGCTCAGGGGGCTACAAAAAGTGCTTTTGGAGCATTCACAGGTTTCAAGACTGCATCAACAGCAAGTTCTTCGTCTCCATTTAGTTTTTTGGCTAATGTGAAATCCAGTACAACTACCAACCCAGTCACAAATTCTAATACCACAACTAATGCGAATACCCCAAATAATGGCGCTACAACGACTACTGAAAATGGGACACAAAAATTAAATACGGAATCTGCGCCAACTTTGTCTAAGACTTCAGTCCAATCAAGTACTGTGAGTGATACCAACAAAAAACAAGATGAAATATTTAAAAAGTCATCCGATTACTATGCTAAACTGAAAGGATTAAATGAAAGCGTTAGTCAATGGATTAAGACCCACGTGGACTCAAATCCATTTTGTATTTTGTCGCCAATATTTCGCGATTATGAGAAATACCTAAAAGAAATAGAAGCAAAACATGGCTCTGATGTAAGTAAGAATACTTTAAGTGCTCAAGGGAAGAAACAAGAATCATTTAACAACGATAACACAACAGCAAAGCAGACGAGTACGTCAACGCCAGAAAAAAAGTCTGAAACTTCAATTTTCGCAAATAGTAATACAATATCAGCATCCTCTAGCAGTGGCGAGTGGAAACCGGAAAAATCAATTTTTGGCAATATGAATAGTTCCAAGTTAATCTTTGGTAACGCAGAGCAAAAGTCGGAAGGCAAGAGTCTCTTTGGTAACGTTAGTACAGATAAAAATCCATTTTTTAACAAATCAGAGGAAAAAAAAGATGATAGTTCTACGAAATCCGACGCGAAACCAACTTTCAGTTTTGGACAAAGTTCCTCAGCTAGTACAGCTACAGCAGGATTCAGTTTTGGAAGGTAATTATTTTATAAAGCATGAAAAGATCAATAATTATCACGGATACTAAAATTAAGAATTGTTTATCTTCATAGCGCAAAACCATTTTCCTTTGCTGCACAAGTATCAAAACCACAAGACAGCGAAGAAAAACCTGAGAATGAGGATAAGGAAGAGGAGGATGAACCACCTAAGCCAGATTTTAAACCAGTCACTGAAGAAGGTGCTGTCTATGAACAACGGTGAATAACTTGTACATACTCTATCTAAATATTTACGAAATATTATTCTCCATCTATAAATTTCTTTTACAGATGCAAGGTTTTCGTGAAGAAAGAAAGCAGTTTCAGCGACCGCGGTGTAGGTACGTTATTCTTGAAACCTACACCAAGTGGCAAAACTCAATTAATAGTGCGCGCAGAAACATCACTTGGAAATTTACTGCTTAATACTTTACTAACTGCCAGTATTCCTATTCAACGTATGAACAAGAATACTGTGATGTTGGCGTGTCTGCCTATGCCGGATTCACAGCCACCACCCACGCCTATACTGTTGAGGGTTAAAACAGAAGAAGACGCAGATCTCCTGCTGGAAACATTGAACAAGCACAAGAAATAAATAATTGAGAAAAAGGAAAACATGAATAAGGAAACAAAAGTCATATAACTATACAGAATCGATATAAACAAAAATTCCATCAAGACAGAGTTATAACGTCTTAGAATGGGAAGAAACGAATTACAAGAACCAATGAATTAAAACTGAAATAATAGACATTCAAATAATTGACTTGTAAAACCCTAACTGGTTTAAAGGATGCCGCTATCCATTTAGATGATTGTTGTATGTAGTGTTTTGCAACTTTAAGTTTTAAGAAAAACAATAGAAATTGTTCATTTACAGAGTGCTCCGTATCTTACGGAGGTATCACGTAATATGGAGCCCTGTAATATATCATGAATGGCTGATCGTTACTACTAATTGTTTACCGTAGAACAATCGTCATTGACCAGATAAAAATGTGGCGCCTCTTTCCTCCTTGACAGCAATGGGTGCCCTTTGTAAATTTTAAGTTCGTTGTGATACGTCGGGTTTTTTTTAGAAGCTCGAAGAACTTTTATTATTCACTTATTGCAAAGAGACGTATCGAGGTAAAATTGAGGAAAAGGAAAAAAAGAAAAATAATATAGGCTACTTGTATATAAACAAAGAAGCTACAATAAAGAACACTGTACGTGAATACGATAGAGCTGTAAGACTACTGATTACACGTGAAGTAATTTTTTGCGGAAGGCAAGAAAGGTGCCTAAGCCTTCTCCCTCTGTTCATTTCTTACACACAGCAATATATTTGTTATGACATTCACGTCAATGTCTAAACTTCAATAAAATATTAAACTTTGAATTATACAGTAGGAATATACAATAGTAATGAAATATCTTTTATCTGCCTAATATATCCTATGTCGAAATCTCAACTTACTATTCATGTTACAAAATTCTCACAGTTCACTGCTTGCACCCATTCCTCTTATTCTTCAAAAATTCGATTCAACTGTTATAATTCAATTATGCTCATTCAACGGCATTCTAATCAATAAACACACTAACCGGCACAAACGCAATCATGTCGTGCGACTAGTTTATATTAGAATTTTTGCCTGCATCTAGGCTTCATTCATGCACATATTTTTCAAATAAACTTTTAAGTTTATCGTTACTTCGACGTTAATCAACTAGAGGATTAGTACGTCATGTTGCATTTCATGCACCGAACACGTCACTCGTGAGTTTCGTTACGAATAAAGATAGCAAAATACCACGGAGGAATGATTCGCGTGGGAGAGAAAATTCTATTAATATTATTGTTTGCCTCGATTCTACCGCAGTCATAAAAATAATCCGCGAATAATTAACGAATCATTGACGAGATTTCGTTATATGTACAAGTGATCATAATAAATCACGGCAATTGAATTACGGTTACGTTCCAAAATTGACTACCAATACACAGTAAGCATCATGTCCATATTTATTTGTATGCATTTGTAAATAGACAATCACACTCCTAACATTGGTAATCAATTTTAGAATGTACCCTATAGGCTTATACGAATGAGCCTTATGAACGACGAGTATAATAATATACATATATATCTCTATACAGGCGAACGAGCATTAAAAAATTTGTTTCTCATATTAGAAAAACAAAAAATCAATGTCGTTCTTAAAGTTCTTGTTAACGATGAAGATCTGCAGATTTATCACCAATGCATCATCGCTAAGCCTTTTGTGCCATAAATGGTGTCAGTGCTCCAATCTGTCCAAGACCCAATTGAATATGTTGCATATGAATTTCCACGCAGTTTTGAAAAACTTGCTGATTCTGTGGACTTAATTTTGACCTTATTTGTTCCATGGTTCCTTGTAACACCTTTAGTTCGTAGGCATTTTTGTCAGAATCGGAAAGACTCTGCAACGGAAGATTTTTTATTATTCAATAAGAAATGAAGAATTGAGATGAAAGATACGTATCAAAGTTTAGAATGTTCCTTACCTTTACTTGTAACATAAGAGCAGTGAGATCTGTAACAAGTTGATTCATTTTCCCAGGACCTTTATCATTTACCATATTATTTCGAGCTACCATGTCAGCAGCTTCCTGACGACACTTCTCACGAAGATGAGATGGGACTAGCATAGCTGCCACACTCGATTCTGGCGCCATTTCGTGGCAGAGTTCCTGAACGTCATCGAGGAAGTCTTGAAGTGCTACGTTCATTTTATCTAACTCTACTACAGTCCTGGAAGAAAGACAATAAATTGCATACTGAAATTTTTATCGATATAAAAAATAAGTTATTGTGGGTATAGTATGAAATATTTACCCCGCGTATTTCATTTCAAAATCTGGCGGCAGTGGTTCACCAAAGGACCGTATCTTTTCTGCTTCACTATTCATCTCTTTGAGTTTCTTAATTTTTATTTTTTTAGCTGCCAACATTTTATTCACTTTGACCATAAACTCCAGAAGCTTCAGAGGGTAGCCGTTCATCGTTCCACCGATGTGCGATTTTTTCGGTAACGATGCATTTGATATCAAAGGATCATTATTTAATCGGGGTGACATTAATTTTAATGCATATGGTGGCGAAGGCACATATTGCACGTGGCGTGGTCGGAATTTTTGAGCGAATGACGCCACACTAATAGTTTCTGGTGGTTCGTTAGACTGTAAACAGACGTAATAGCACGTTAGATTTTCTGTCTATTAAAAAAAGTAATACATTTTAGATAGATGCATTCACACTTACCAATACTTCATAATCGGGAACACTGTGCGTCCCGAGGCCTGCCCGCTCGAATGTGATTCTGTATGTATTATTGCTTGTGTCCACGGCATCTATGCTACCCGTAAAAAGTCCGTCCTGCGGTTTTCTGAGTCTGGCGGTAACCTTCGTTCCAATGACAAGCTGAAGAGGAATCTCGGCTGGCAAATCTTTAAAACTACTTATATCTGCCGTTTTTCTTTGCTGAAGCATACGTATCTTTTGTCTTTTTCTCTCTAGTTCTCGCCTCTCTTCTTCAAAAAAAGATTGCGAGCATCGTCTTGGTTTTCCCATCATTCTTCGTATTTTACACCACTCCACTCGTGTCAATTTACGCGTTTTTAATTGAGGAAACGATTCTTTAAGACAGATCATAAAATCATTATCCCCATCAAACAACGTCCTGTTAGGAAAATTATAGTATGTCATGAAAGTCGTAAGCAATTCATTATCTATATGTAAATGAATATGATTAATACATACTTGTCAATGTTACTATAAAACCACTCATAACACACCCATTTGTGCGCTTTGGGCAGTTTTAGTAAATTTCTCAGTCTCATGCCAATTTTTTGACCAATCTTGCGATCTGGTGATGATGGTTGTGATGGTTTTTCTGGTTCTTTTTCCTCTTTGATTGGGGTAGTTATGGGGGTAACCGGTTGAGACATCGTCCCACTACTCTTTTTTGTTTCATGTATTAGCTTGTTTTGTTTCTTGACAGGTGATGGTTTAGGAACCTTCTTGGGTGACTGTTTTATGTCAGGATTTAAAGGATCCTTTTTTATTCTTTAAAAAAAAATGTAACAAAAGTTTAATTAAATACGTGTGAGATGCTTTCTATATGTACAGTGAAACAATGACTTACCTGTGGTGAGGATGATTGACTAATATATCATCATAAAATAATTTATTCTTTTTTCTAATCCTAGCGGGCATTCCTCTGCGATTCAAAACTTGTACTGGTTGTTTGGGAGGATTTGGCTTAGGTGGTGGTTGTGCACCAACTCTTTGAAGACCCAAAGCTGCTGGCCCTAATTCAGGCATGGGCTCTGAGTCTTCGGTATCCATATGAGAATCCATTGAGTTGTTAGAAATATGATGATCATCTACGTCCATCCCATCATCGTCCAGAACTTCTACCTTGATTTCATCGAGAGACGGATAGCCTCCATTCTTGATAGACAATAATGTCTCTGCTGACTCATCTGAAAATTATTAATTCAGTTCATTTCACCATTCTACAAGTAACTTTCACTAACTGTCATCACATAAAATGTAAATAAATCCTTTAAATTTTCTTGTCAACTTCTAATACGGTACACTAACTGCTCCAAAATTTATAGCAAAATAATAAAGATTTAAATTTCATGTTAATGTCATAAATATTCCTAAAGCGGCAGTGTCGCATTTCTTTTATAATAACATTCAAATTGAAAATAATTTGAATGACCAAAATATTGACTCAACGTTGATTTTCCTATTTTTTCAATGAACAATACTCTTAAATTCCGTTGCGCGCCATATTTAGAATAAGAACAATACTTCAAAACGTACAATCCATTATGAAATAATCCAAAGCCGTGGCGGTAGGTTTACACTTCGAATGTCGTGAAATTATGAAGCACCGACGAGGAATTCGTACGTGTCCGACTTCCCACTTCTGAATTCCAACATAACCAAACTAGGACGAACTTGTATAAACAGGAGGAACGCGTAACGCGTTATCGCGATAGTAAAGATAGTAAGAAACGTAATAATTCACAATTGTAACCCAACAACTAAATCCATCCGGTTAACGCGGCCCTCCGAAAAATCGTAAATTGTTTCACGAAAGACTCGCCGTCCCGCTTGAATTGTGCATTGGTCATTTTTGAAATTTTAAACCCATCCCGTCCGTGGTTCATTCAAACGGTAACCGCCATTTTCTCTTCCGGCAAAAACCGATTTCCTATACATAAAAAGAAACACAACGGTGCTATGTATATGATTCTTAAGCTGATTTACTGTTTTATGCAGTTTAATAGACTTAATTCGAGCAAGAATTACGTGAATTTCACTCACTTTCAATCGCGTCCGCCATGTTGATATTGACTGTTGCATCATGGGTACGTGTTTCCGCCAAACCCCTCCCTTACTTCGTCCGCCGTGTTCGGTCCATTTCCGTCCGTTCCGGAAGTCTTAAAAACCCCGGAAATATTCAAAAGTTTGAATCGAGCGACACGATTAACGAGGCATTCCACTGTCTTATCTCTAAGCTTTGATAAGGCGCAAATTCGGAGCTATGGTAAATTTGAGTTATTTTCGTTTGATACTATACGCCAACGTTTGTTTGATGTTAGCATTGGACATTAGACCAGAAATTTATAAATACTGTAGAGATAAGAATAGGCTAATCACTTCAAAAGAAAATGATGAGTATCTTCTCGTAGAAGCCGAGGTTAACACAACTATTTTACTTGAATGTCATTTTTGGTAAATATTGTTAACTCGTTCATATTATGTATTCACCTAAAATATTACTTTCAAACGGATTCTATATTTAGCGGGTATAGTGATGACAATCAACCAAAAATTTGGCACTTACAAGATCTTTACCAATCACAATCCGTAAAGGAAGTTGATCTTGGGATGGATAATAATATGTCTTATAATAGAATTCATGTAACGCTTGAATATTCATTAGTAATCAAGAGTTTTCAGATGTCGGACAAAGGCATTTACAGATGTCATGGACAAGTGGGTCAAGAGGAGGAATATAAATTTAATTACAGACTCGAACGTAACAATTTTAACGAAAATAACTTAATCTTTTTTTTAAAATACCCTATTTTCAGCGGTATTCAAACAAAAAGATATATCCGTGGAAAAAGGAAATATAACGGAGTGGGAAAAATATCATGAAGTCAACATGGCTCCTGTGACCATGCGTTTTTCTGTAAATGATAATATATTTTGCAAAATATCGCAAACTAAAGATTTTATCTCAACAGATATCAACCATGTCAGATCTGGTTGAGATTCGTGAAGCAGGGATCATTTTGGAAGTAGTTTCCGAATGGGGCCTATGGAGTCGCTGCGAGCGTTGCATTCGGAAAATAGGCTTTAAAACGAGTCGCGGTTATTGTAGAATAAAACGCCATATAGATGATGTAATAGAAGGAAAACACTTAACAAATTTTAAAACGATTTAAGCAAAATTACATGGAACGTCATTTTCAGGCACTCATGAAGGATCGAACATCATCTGTAGCGAAATTATTCCTAAAATCGCCTGCGCTACCTTGCAGGTAGACTTTTTAAACTGTCAAGTGTATAAAATGGCGAATAGCCATAACATATTGGCCATAAAATATTGCAGATCAATACTGTTGATGGAACAGTTTCCAGGTATAAGTAGAGCAACAAGGTATTTGCCTGAATTCATCCTAGAAGAAAAGTGTAAAAATTGCATTAAAGTAAAGAAAAAGAAGAAGAGCAGATTTAAATACAAAAAGCGATATGTTCTTGCCGAAGGAGCTCATTTGGCCATAACCTGTCCCGAGTAACAACAGTTGCATTTCGTCAACTCATATCAATTGGCATCTTTTATTTATCAATAATAACCTAGTATTATGTTAGGTCGAATTTGGAAACGTTAGTTGTGTGGAGAAAGGACGCATTACTATTAAAAAAAGGCATGGGTCAATCATTTCGCAAGAAAGATCCAGATCCTCGAGTTCTCGTAGACACTTTTGCGACTCTCTATTTAGTTGGTATGACGAACAAAGGTATCGAAAAAAAATAATACAAACTAATATCTTTTCATTCATCAGGAGTCTCACATGCTGAAGAAGGCAATTATACTTGTTACGTAGATAATGTGAATATGATGCAAGTAAAAGTAATAGTCGTGTCCAAATCAAGACTATTGACTCAAGGTAAAGCATAATTTGTATATCGTATTTGTCAAAAAATGTGGAACGCTTCACGATTTTGCGTGTCATCCTTGCGCAGGGGCCATGCTAATCTTCTCTGTATCGTTCCAATTTTAGTATATGTACTGCCGAAGCAAGTACACTTGGTGTTGTTTAGATCAGACTTATATACTAACAATAGGGTACTCCGAGCACTAGCGAGAAACTGACTATCGTGGCGGCGCCACGTAGCGGCAATTGTATGAAACAGTATAAACCGAACTTAACAGTTGGCGCTAGTGAAGCGTTACCAACTCACCGCGCTGTTATAACACGGTTGCCAATATATTTCTATATACATAACATAACATCAGTTTAAATACAAATTCCTTTGATTTACAGCATTTCTACGACACATGGGTTACCTAGGATTTATATTTCTACTAAGTTCATTTTGCTACTGCGCTGGACTGGTTATAGTTTGTAGGAACAAAGATAAATTTAAAGTTAAAGACTTCGAGGAAATAGAGGCCAAAAGAAAGAATTTACCAAAATTTTAGGATAGTAACTAATTCTCGAAATAAAATAATTTTAAGTATTGTCACATCAATTACCTTTATAAACTGTAATTCTCATTATCACTCTAGTTCTTCTTTAATTCAATTATGTATTTAATAAGAAACCGTCTGCATCGGCATTAAAATCTGTACGAATCAGTACTACCATGAATGCTTTCTCTATGACCCAATTATAAGAATCGACATTCGAATCGAGTTCCAGTCACTCGCCGTACGACTTCAACGAAGGTATACAAAATTCTTGTGGTCAATTGTAAAAATTTTGAAGGAGCACAATCATTATCGGCCGTATGGATTCCAAATAATTTTTCCCCAGTACGTGAAGGCCTTAACACACAGTGCAAAGTGAAAGGAATCGAGTCGCGTCCGGTTCCTGCGTTTTACACCGATTGTGGAGCGCTTCAAAATAGCTGAGCACTGATCGACGTTTTGATTATCGTGTTGGTGTCGACTTGTGATCACAATCTTAAGAAGAAACGATGGCTTCCAGAAATATTCTCGTGTGTCTCATACTCCTTGGCATTGGACTCGTTCCTCACATGGCCAACGGTAAGTTCACCAAAATGGCGAACACCTCACTTTCACTCCTATCCAGGTACATACCTTTGACGTATTGTTAGAATCTACGGAGAGACGTGTATAAAGTTCATAAATTTCTTGATGAAAAGCCATAAACCGTGAATGACGTAACGTGAGAATATTTTTGCTGTTACAATATCCGTTTCTCAAAAAAAAAAAAAAAAAAATCAGCTTCTATAGTATTTCAAGTACATGGATATTTGCTATGTCACAAGTTGGAAAGTGTGATTAATCATCAGGAATATTCAACGAAGTCAATTATTGATACGTTAAATTAAATCTCCACAATTTTTTAACAGGTTTATTAAAAAGATGCAGCCGCTGCAGATCGAGAGGAGAACGTGGTACCTGTAAGGATCCATTCCCATCAAATATGACAGAAGCTGAAAAATTAAGAGGAGTGGAAATAATACCTTGTGCGTCTGGCTGGTGTGGAAAAATCATTGAAACCGAAGGTTTAAACAATGGTAAGTAAAAAGACATATAATGAAAAAGTAATATCCAAGCAAAACTATTATAAACAATTAGTCTATTAACAATTATTGACATTTGCTTTTCTCAGAGTATGGAGTTGCCACAGAGAGACACTGCCTTCAAAGAGGGCCGGACGATGGCGAAGAAAGATGTGCATACACTACGCGAAATTATAAGAAAGTATACATATGTTTTTGCATGGGAGATGTATGCAATGGATCTACTGCGATTACATTTTCCAGTACATTGATATTCACTTGCCTAGCAATTCTGAGAGGCTGGCTAATTTAAACGCATTTACTTAAAATTAAACCATCTGTTTAATAGTCGTATCTAAAAGGTATACTCGCGTGATATTTCACGCACCAAGATTCAAGCCAGAGACTATACATCTTCTGTATCGTCCAGTAAACTAGTCGTGTAACACGCGTGGACTGTACCACGTAGACTGCCAAACTAAATAAATAAATTTAAAAAAAAAGTATCAGTCTAGAAGTATTAGTTGATTTATTCGAGGAGAACGTAGGGACGTCTACATAATTTATAATTATTGATTTGAAAGAAAAATGTATAAAAAACTAGATGACCGTGTTCTGGTGTATTACACTGTATTCACTTTTAGGACAACCTGTTAACGTTAAAGGATTTGGAATAAATAATTATTATTAAAAATTATTTTCCAGTACTACGCTATTGAACACTTCTGTAAAACGGCGAATCAGGCCTGAGACTACTCAGAATGTGGCCTTGAAGGCCATTCCGTATGCGTTCTTCCTGATTTCTAAGCAAAGCCCTCACGTGTGGATAATTGTCCCAGAAAAGTTCGCCACGTCCATAAATCAATTTCACAGCTAACGCTGCTTCTTCGCCAGTCAGAAGAAACGGATCAGGATGTTCTGGAAACAAAAGCGTCATTATATATCCTTTAACATTGACAATGATTTCAAGAAAATATTCAAATACCAAGTCCGTTTGAGAAATCCGGAGTCATATGTCCAGCTGCATCCTGTGAACTGTAACCCAGATCGTTCGTATCTACCGGAGGAATGAAAACACCAATCGGCCATAAGGATTCGGCATTTTCAGGCTTTATTACGCGACCACGTAAAATCCTACCAGTACGTCTACCAGTGTATTCGGTCTGCTCGAGATTTTTTGCTACGAATCAACGAAACAAAAAATTAGTGCTAATATCCTCACGTGTACCTAATAACTTTTTTTTTCACTAATTCATACATAGTAATACTGTACCATGTTGGTCTTTACTCAGATTCCTTCGTCCCACAGAGAGATACGATTTTTGCGCTATGGTATTTCCATCTGTAAAATTTCATAAAGCAAAAGTCAAGATAGATCGGAATCTCCCCAAGTAAATTACAAATTAAAAAATATATCTTTACCATGAGTCGTCAATCCGTGCTCGTAAGTATGTGGAGGCGAAACAAATTTAACATGAACGCTAGCAAGTGGAGCAGCCCTTATCGTTGCTATGGATAAGAGGACTCCTAAGGCACGTAACTGAAAGACGCGATCAAAGTATAAAAACTAAAGATTAATCAAAGTCATTAATTAATAGAAAATCAATAAAATCACTATTAAGTTATAAAGCACTGGTTACATATAATAATTTTCAAATTACAAAGAAAAACAAAGATAAGTAGTAACTATAATGAAATTTCATCATTACACAATCTACGTTGCAACTATAAAATCTGGAGCTATTAAACCAACATATTCTCATTGATCGTTCACGTTAAGATTCGTATTCGTACGTATGAATGAAAAAAAAAATACTAAATGCATCATCTAAGGATTTTGTTCACGTTAACAGCAAACAGGTCAGTAAAATCCAACTGATACCCGGAAATAGTATACGCAATGAAATAATAAGGCACGATATATGAATAAGATATGCAAATAAAAGTTATTAAAATTTAAAGACTTTACCAGTAACAGTGTACGAGTCGAATGACTGAAACCAGTTCAGTCGGAATTCAGCGAGAGAATTGGCTCTATTATTCAAATCAATAAAATTAGCATAGTCCTTGCACCGATTTCAGAAACTAGCCTATTGCCAGACTCCGTATCCTTATTCTATACTATATTGTTACTCCTCGCAGAGGAACGTTTCATAGATACCCACATTCAAAAAGGGGACCTCGTGGATAATGTCAATCAATGTCCACGAAAAAGGCCAATTATTCCTGACACACTAATGATGCAATCCAGTCAAAACATTGGCTATTAGTCAAAGTGGTATTTCTCGTACTTTCTCATAGAATAGCTATACACCGTCTATATATGTATACATATATGTATATACTATGTAGCGTGGTACGTATATATTCTCTGAATCGCATCTGAGAATAATTTCTCTACGTTGGCTATGGACCATTCGTATAATCCAGTTTTAATGGAATAATGACCTTGCCACTAATTCATACTGTTCTAAGATAACTCTGACGTATATATGTAGATATATATAGTGAATAGCACCCACGATGGTCCTTCAGATCAGAAGCTCGTTAATTAAGATAGGATTGTTGGCGATTGGAGCGAACTTACGATTACGCTATCGTCTATTGTGCTATCACGTAATCCGATGACACGAACAATACTTACGAGATGATAATAATCGAATAACAATACGATCTCTATATTGATCGAGTATTCCTATCCTCGTTTACGCAGCTAAAATTGTATAATAGATACGTGCTTAAGGCGTCGACACCTGTTGAAATTAAGACAATGGCGTCCGAGCGAGATGAAAGAGAAAAAAAGTATGTGCCAGAGATATAGAATATAGAGAGAGATTATTTAAAGAGTACATGAGAAATAGAGAGAATGCGAGTAAGAGAAATTCAAACTGGCAATGCTTATTAGTATCGTATTTACGGCCGATAAGATCTATGTGAAATTCCTGCTGGATTGGGTAATCAAACTCAAAAATGCACGACAGCATTACACCAAGGGTCTTTGTAGTTCGAATCCAAGTGAGAATCTTCGTGTCTACGTTAATACTTTATTTCACAGCTCATTGTATACCGGTAATGTCTTCAAGGCGTGAAACACGCAGACTCGTGGAAATCCAGCATAAGTAAAATCAGAGCATCGCTTCTGATCTGTATACGTGTAACGAGGGATCGTAGACAAGAGTCGGATTCTATGGTCGACCATGTTGCACCAGCAGGCTGGATGAATTTATTGAAGCTGGAAGTGAAGCAAGAATCACGGGACTTAGCCTTTATAAACCGCAGAAGAGTCATGTGACTGTGTCTTGCACGATACACAGCATCCATATGTTGGTGCGCCTGTATAATGGATATATAAAAAAGTGACTTTCATCAGAGCTCCATAATATTTCCCAGGTAGAACGGTGATAATAAAATTTTGAAAAGTTTTTAAAAAATAATTAATTTAGTTTACGTCATGAACAGCTATGTAGCATGGGAATGTTTTTGGTTATTTTGAGAAAATTCGTAATTACCTTTGATAACGTTCGTTTAATATGGCCTGGTATTAATCAACGTTCTTATATGTATACGTACATCAGTGCTCAAACATTAAATGAGTGAGCGAGCGAGCGAACAGTGGCTCACTGGAGTGCTCATGGACTATGTATGTATGTATTATGTATATGTATGTATACTATGTACATGTATATACTATATGTATGTATATACTATATATATGTATGTATATTATGTATATGTATATACTATGTATGTATTATGTCGAGTGATTTCGCCACAGGAGTGCGAGATTGTGCCTACACGATTTCCAGACTGAGGTGGATTCATTGTATCCATTTGGTTCGAGTCGATGGACGATGCACTTTTGCAGACTTGGGCTCGACTTACCAATTACCGGCTATGGATGGCAAAGCGCCATAGTGCATCTCAGGCTCTTCATTACCGTTATTATCGTATATCTTCAGGATAGGTGGAGCCGTGTGAAACGCGTACTGATTATTATATAACGCAAGGCAGATATACGACTTTGTATCGATGAGTACGGTTGCGCAATTTTTTAATAAAAATTAATCGATTATTTAATAATTTTTTTACGAGCTACGTCCTTAATGGAGGTGGTTGAGAAGCACCTCCTTAGTACTGCTACTACGGCTGTTGGTGCCACAGTGACTCAATATCGAGTTCAAGGGTTAAGCTCGATTTCTCTCCTGGCATTCCTATGACTTTATACAGACAACAATGCAGCTGCATAATTAGTCTGGGGAGGATTCGGACTTCTTGTACAGTGGAAGATTTGGATCTTTAGCAAGGTTCATTTTCTTACGACTGCACCGTTAGTGCTGCAATTGACCTTTAACGTGATAAATGACCTTAACGTTGAAAAATGGGTCGGGCGTATTCAATTTTTTTTTAATACAATTTGCGTTTATGTCAATTTTTGTTTTTTATTTTTATAAAACGGAATCCTGTTCTTACGTAGCAATTATTATGTGACACTAACCATCTAAGTCTTTTCAACCCAAGGATACAGCGATTAAATAATTATCTTGTAATGTTTTTAGTTTCGATTAGTACACGTTACTCAACTCGCTCGAGGAACTCCTGACGTTCCCGCCTTGCTTAGGAACGACCATAAATCGATCTTAATTCCTTCTCCAGATATCCAACATGTTTTGGACGGCGTTACGATGGCTCTTACTATATGTGTGAAATTCACTACAAAGTAACCGCGCACTTAAGTATGGGAACGGAGAATCATCAGGGAGCCGCTGTTATAAATCTTGGCGAAGCGTATCGGCTGCTGTTAATTAACGGTCTTGGGACGTTTAATTGGACCTCTTGGATTTCGCTGGAGACGCGCCTGATTTTTACGATAGTAGGTACAGCGAAAACATAAAGGATATTGCAATTCGAATTTCATCAAAATTTACGCCTCGGACTAATTTCAGCAAGCGGATATTACGAGAATAAAAAATCAGGCGTTCTCAACTCTTGCAAATTTTTAGAGAAAAATTCTTTGCAAAGCACAAAACGAACAATGGACTGCGCGTGCATGCATGCGTCACGCATTTCGAATGCACCAGGATATTCGCAGAAACCTTTCGCCTGACGTTCACCACGCTACGGTAATCTATTGCGAATCGTTTATTATTTTGACAAAAAATTTGAATAATAAAAAAAATTCATAAAATTTGCACAATCTTATTTAACTATGGATGAGAGTGTCGCAAGAGGGTGAAAGTCAAATTTGAAAATACTTGAAATTCCATTTACGTCCCTTTACATTAGAATAATATGGACTTCGTCTAACCAGTTCACCATCAATATCAGTTCGCTATCGTATTATCCAACTAGTCATATCCAGTAATTACGTCATAGGAATATGCAATAGCCTACATAATTTTTGCATATAAATATATTACCGGTTATAGGCGCTACGAATGATATGAAATATAATTCAAGAATATAATAAATCGTCCATAAGTGCAATCCTATGTATCAGGGGCCATCTTCTAATGGTTTACGATGTATAAAAAGTCCCTTGAATATATTAACCGATATCGCACTCTGACTATATCTATATACGAATACACGTCTATATGTAATACTGTATATAGACGTCTCGACAGTGCAATTACATATACGACCAGGAACTGCAATTCAATTTCCAATACAAAGGCAATTCAATAATAAATTGATTTATTATGATTAATATTAAAAAATTATTCGAATGATAGATTTAATCAACTCATAGAATATTCATAGACTATTTTTCTATTCCTCTTCGATCTATTTTATTTTTTTACTCACCATCAACATGCCTGCTACTATATTCCGTTTTAATTAGACACTATACGATCCTAACCCCACTTGCGAGGATCACTTGAATTATTCGAAATTCTGTTATACCTGTGTACTTTGCTTTTAAAAAAGTTTTTAAAAAATTCGAGTAATGTACGAAGTGTCGCGTACTCGAGCAGAAACTGATCCAGTTCAGACTTCTTGGGAGAATGTCATGATGCATAGGACCCAAGATCTCCCTTCTTCGTGTGAACAGTAAACCCCACCTGACTGCTGACTAGTCTAGAAGGACTAAGGACGATAGCGAGGACGTTTCACAGAAAGTACTTTCATTTTGTGTGTCTCATACATATACCATTGAAATATATAGATTAGCCCTATATGTTCCACCAGATTGGTCCGAAAGTCGATATTGACTAATTAAATTATATTTTGTTTACGTGCGTATTTATTTTGATTATTCATTGAAAAATTAAAATACTGGTCCAACGGTGAAAATAGTTTTGGAGATTCGACATATTCTACAAGCTGGTGAAAGAGGCGTGATTAATTATCTGTTATGTGTTTTTGAATGAATTTATGGATGCTGGGATGCTACCACATCATCAATTCAAATTGTTCGTATTACGTAGAGAATTTATCTTACAAGCACATTACTGGTACTGTGATAATCATTGCCCAAAATATACAGAACATGTGTATATATATATATATACCCTAGACACGTTATCTTATAAGAAACATCAGACAATCACAGCGTTAGGTTCAATGGAATTCACCAACCAAGCTATTGCTACGGTATCAGGTCTCTTGAACCGGAGATTAGAACCCTGGACTTTTGATCCCGCGAATAAATGATCTTTTATACGAGTGAGATCATATTTTTATAAAATTTTATGTTTCCTGGGACATTGATAATTTTAATTAGATTGAAACTAGCGTCCATATTATTATTGATCTCGATGATATTTATGAGAAAAAAAATATCACAAAAATTGTGTAATAATTTGATGGGCCACGCCACGATGCTGTGTTTGCCCACGCCAGTATATTATACAGGGTGTATCTTAAGCCCCGGACAAGAGATATACCGTTAGATCCTGCGTGAAAAAATAAAAATATTGGCGTTAACAAAAATAAAAAATTTTAATTAGTTTATTAATTATTAAAGATTAAAGTAACCCAATAATAAGCGCGTGAAAACTGGTAACTTCTCCTCAGTGTCCGCTCATTGGGGACAGCCAATCATTTATTTCACTAATATACACCCTGTATATTAGTAATACATGGAGTACGAAGGTTAGTATTCCCCTGTATAAGAGTATCGATATCTAGGAACACGGAGATTTATATTTGCTGATAGAATCAATTGCTCGTAGGATCAATTGTCTATGTGATATTTTTTAGGGTCGTATGATCAGGAAAAGCCACGTTATAGATGCATCTGTGGAAACTGGATGTGATTGGTTGGTTTAGAAAAATGTTGATGACTATTGGGTTAGTTGATGCATGGTTTGATAAGGAGATCGTAATCATATAACTTTATAGAACAATTGTACATACAGTTTGATAATATAGTTGTTTTCAGAGCACCGCAGCACAAACAGAATTTCAGCCCCACGCGTGTTGACCTTAACCAACAGGAGTACAGAAGTGACACAGATCATTGGATCTATACAAGATGGAGCATAAGCTTTGATCTTTGGAAAGAGAACGTGGAGCAGTATACGTTAAGTTAATTGCTGATAATCTGATACAAAATCTATTGACATGTGTGTAGAATGAATTGCATTGTCATATATATCATTGTTACGTTCCGTCTATTACAAAATCACTTATAAGGAACCCATATATATATATTCAATCAATATACTCGTTGGAGGCTGATTTCATCTTTTCACGTTCTCATAACCTTGAAATCCGTTCTTTTAAGCATACATCATTATCATCGACTCGACAAACTCTACTTCCTCTGAACCGGATTTCCGCCATTCTACGTTTCTTTTGTGACCTTGCGTATATTTCTGGTTGAGTTTGACATTCGATCTGTTACAACTGCGTGTGGATAATGGACAATGACGGTAGTTTCCAAGTACATAAGGTTGATGACGTGTAAGCATTCGTGAATGTGTATATTAATCCTAGTATGAATATGTAGGACTACCCTGAGGAGCTGTGAAGCCGTAGATAGCCATTGTTAGAAAATTTGTTTATCATTGAACTATACATTACTGCTTATCGAGTATCGTTGTAGTTCTGAGTAATGTGGGAATATTGAAACATTCAAAGAGCCTTTGTTACGGGAATGAAATGAGCTTTGAGCGCTTATTGAAAAAGAGCCAATATGGCAAATTGGTTATTTCGTAAGAGACGCCCCGGGATAATGCGATTTATAATCGGATTATTGTTGTATTTTACTATTTCACATGTGGTCTGGTTATACATATAGGTAACCCTTGATTAAAATTGGGTACGATTATAATATTAGAGATCAGGGTCATGGCCTTGTATACATTTGGACTTAGGTATAAGAATTCAGTTTCTTTTATTTAATTAATTGCTTTGTAACTGTACACCCTTCTTGGCAGTCCCATCAGACATCTGATCAGGCTTGTATTCTCTGACGATTCTTATCCGATTCAGACGATCACAATGGCCTGGCAGGAATCGTGTGCTTTCCAAATTGTGCAATCGACAAGCCCGATGGCTAATCTTGCGGAACAATAAGTTCAGATTGGTTGAGATAATGTCTTATGCTAATTTTTGTCCTGGTAGGTCATTCTTTATATCGCGAAGCACATCTTAATGTCTTAAAGTTTCTGAGTGATAACCTGCATTCTCATAATAAAATACATGGTTTAAATGTCGTTATGTAAAAATTCAAATATAAAATGTTAGTCCGACGTCTTAGATTTCTTAAAAATAATTGATAAATCCCTAGTCATAAACAAGTCATACCCTGTAGTGCAGAATTTCGTTGAAAGTTTAATATATATATCAAGATATATCTCTATGGTAAAATACGTTAATATCGACAACCTAGAAATTTCCTTACAATTCTATATAATATTAATAAACAAATACCACTAAGGTAATATTGCGTAATAAAACTTACAATGTAGAATTCCTAAATTAAACCCTATGAAGTATCACAAAAGTTAAATTACAAATTCCACCAATTGCTGCACATTTACAAAAATAGAATACACAGTCAAAGAGATATGTATAGTAGCAATGTCAGTTGATAAACAACTCAATACATTTCAACTAATATAACAACGTAATATTAGGAATAAAAAAAAATTCCAAGTGGTTATTATCTCACACAATGATAAAACTCCTGTAAAAGTGTTCCTTGCATTACACACAGAAAGCGCGTAAATATTTATTTAAGTAATTACACAACCGAAATGATGTATATTCAAAATCGATTAAATTCTCAGCCGAATATCCCATAAACACTAATGAAATGTCGAATTGACTCAACAATGACAGTTACGCTCATTTCGCACAGAAACAATGCAAAAACGTATCGAAAACATTGTAGAACGTACGAGACGGCAACAGGAAAAGCCAAAGGAAAAAGAAGATCGAGAAAATTCAATAAGAAGTCATGAAAATGAGACAAAATAATACATGATAGTACTAAATGGAACGATCCTTTTTTTTAAAAATAGCTTACCAGGTCAAAATATAATTCAATCTCAATAAGCAAAAATGAAGTCGACGACAATCGTTGAGGTTCAACGGAAAAAAGAAAGAAAAATAAATGTAAAACAAGCACGATACTTTCAACCTCAAATCGCAGAGCGTCGCGCAGCAATGCGCTAATATAGAGTCCCTTTAGTAAGAGTCCGGCCAACGGTGGGGCTTGTTAGTGATTGGCTCCGCCATATTATGGGCTTTTTCCGGAATAGAATGGTGTGTGTGAATACGTATATGGGAGAGATTTGCATTGTGTAGGGTGGGTAGCGTAAAGCCCTGTACGGCGGGTTGCCTGTACTTGGCGCGAGACTCGACCGAGTCTCTTGATGGCAAAGATTGATAGTTTGAAAATCCGCGCGCAATGTCATGGTGGCGCCAAACAAGCCCTTAATATGGCGGTCCCTCCAGGTGTTGGCCGGATTCTTACCACTCAACGCTCTTACTAGAGGGACTCATGTATGCGGCTTGGATCCGCGGACAGACGAGTTTATGGGTAATATTTCCCAAGATTCTTTGGCTGTTTGATGCAGTTTGATGCAAGGGATCAAGAATTTTTGGCGTCTTTTATAACTGATTGTTTATCGCGTTATGATATTACGTGCGGGTAATTTTTTGGAGTTGGGTGATTCGCGCGGAAACAGGAGGCTTCTTCTACTTTTCGCTTGGTTCTTGATAAACTGAGTAAAGAAAATGGCGATTCATCGTGTAAAATTAGTTTACTATATAAGAAATTCTGGATAACGTTCTGGATCCTTTGCCACTTGGAAATATGTACTAGTTAGTAGCGTAACTTTGTGCTCGTGCGGATTTATATGAAGTCTAATCTCGAGGTAAAGTGTTAATAGTGGGATTATAGTGACTGTGTACCTGAAACGTAACCACAAATTTTTGACATGTTATTGTTATGGAAAATTGTGTCAGCTTGCTTTTTTAATTTGAAGTATTGTATATTTTCCTCTAGTTTCGTCTTGTGTAAATGATGTCCTCACAGGATGCAAAGTCATCTGAGAATTCTAACTTTAGACAAGAGGATTATGCTCTTCTACATGGATTGCAGGTATCGTATCTCATATTGTAATAACACATTTTCTTTTCTATTTATATTATGTTTAATTAGGAATCTACTGGAGACATCTTGGAATGCCTTTCCGTAATGGTAAACACTGATAATACAAATGCTACCGAAGTTCAAGGGTTAGTTTTGGATGATCAATTGCTTGGAAAAACTATCACTGCAATAACTTTACCAGATGGTACCCAAGCTTATGTCACCGATGATTTTGAAGAAGATGGTTAGTGGACAGAAGGATCCACACATCACAGAAATTGATTAACTATTTTTGGTAGAAGCAGAAGGCAAGGATGAACCGGCACTGGAGCTAGAAAATGGTGAAACTATCTTTCTACGAGATTTGTCGGAATTTGCTGATGGAAAAACGCTTCAGTTGGAACTGGATCCAACGACACTTATACAAAGTCATACTGCCACAACACATGATGTCGATAGTACATATTCTCAAGTCCAACTCATAAATGGCACAGCATATATGGTGTCTGGTCACGTTGACATGGATGAAGGTTTGTGGGAAATTGAAGACGGAAAATTAAAAAAGAAACAAGGTAGAATCGTGATAAATAACATACCCGAGACAAAATCACGAAGTCAGTATCCCTGTCCAAGAGAAGGTTGTGAAAAGGTCTACAGTACTCCGCATCATTTAAAAGTACAAACAATCAGTACTACATACATAAAATTATTACGATATCTTTTACAAACATTTTCCTACCATTTACTTTTATATTTTAGGTTCATGAACGTTCTCACACAGGTCAGAGGCCATACATGTGTGTTCATCCAAAATGTAAAAAAAGTTTTTCGACAGGCTACAGTTTGAAGGCTCATTGGCGCACTCATACTGGCGAAAAACCATATAAATGCCCAACTGCGTCATGCGATAAAAGCTTTAAAACTTCTGGGGATCTTTTGAAACACATTAGAACTCACACAGGCGAGCGGCCTTTTGTTTGCCCGTTCGAAGGCTGCGGCCGTTCGTTTACCACAAGCAATATTAGAAAGGTGCGTAATATTAAAAAAAAATATATCTATTATTTTTGTTTATGTGTATTAATCATACAGGTTCATGTCAGAACTCACACCGGTGAACGACCGTATAAATGTACGCATCCAAAATGCGGCAAAGCTTTCGCGAGTGCGACAAATTATAAAAATCACATACGGATTCACTCGGGCGAAAAACCTTACGCTTGTTCGATCGAGAATTGTGGACGTCGATTCACAGAATACTCTAGTCTTTACAAACATCATTTAGTGAGTTGAAAATTAAGGCATTGAGAAGTAAAGTTAGATGTGTTTTTTTAATACCGGGAACAAAATATTTTTTGTTTGCGTATTTATTAGGTTCATACGCAACAGAGACCGTTTGAATGTAAAATATGTTTCCGAAGATATCGGCAAAACAGTACATTAATTATGCATAAGAGAACTGCGCATGCGCTTATCGAGAACGACGACGGCGTTGACATTTTCTTACAAGACCCTTTGGAGATTGTTGAGGAGAATAAAGGAAAGCGAAGAAAAATTGTAACCAAACAAAATGTACGTAAACAGGATAATACTTTACAATAAGGTAAACCATTGTAATATTACTTTGACATGTTGACTTCCCAGATTACCGTAGGAAAGGATGGCCAATTACAAATTACGGGAAACACACATGAACCTAATGAAAATGAAACGCAAATACTATTTGTTGGAGATCCTTCGCAAATAGCCGCCTTGCAGGTTAGTTTTCATATAATTTTTCAAAATTTCAAGTTAAATCATTGCAATATTCTCCATAGCAAATGGGACTGGAAGAAGGATACGATGATGGAGAAATAGACACATCATTGGAGGCATTGAACATAAAAATCGAGGACATAGAATTTGGTTGGAACTAGAAATCCCCTATTAACAGTCGTCAGAAGTCTTGTCCTTTATCAGTATAAAATCATTGCCCGCCGGTGTTAATATTGCAAAGAATAACAAATAAAAGTTTCAAATCCAAAGCGTGTTTCCCAAAACTCCTTCAATCCCACGAAAATTCGCGGAACTCATCGCGAAATCGCGGCGCTATTGAAAAGTGGACGTCTCGTATAAAGACGCCAGATGCATTGACTCTCTCTCGTTGTATCTTCTTCCGCCAATGTGTCTTTGCTCACGGCCAGATCTCGGAACTGGACTGTACAGTTCGAGAAGCTAAATTTAGCATTGCGTCCACTGATTCGAAAATAGAGCCGTGACGTCACCGAGAGTAGAACAAGAAGAAGGCAGTGAAGAGTAGAGAGACAGAAGAAGCAAAAGACAGATGAAGTAGAAGAAAAATGAGTATACTCAGCAGACCCAAAACAATCGGGTCTATAACAGAGGATTAAGAAGTTCAAAAAAAAGAATGAAGAGCCATACCACAATAAACAAAAAGCTTCTGCACATGCGAACGTTCCGTAAAACCGCAGCCACGCCAAAAAGTAAATATATTTCTTCGTCGTAACAATTCATTATAATAGTAAAAGGACCACAGGATCACATAGTGATCGTGATTAGCAATGGCAGCGTGGCACAGTGGTCTCTTCGGTTGGAAGGACAGCGTGGTATTAAAATAGGCCAGAGTCCCAGCGCTGCCAATGCTAACGCTAAACCGTTTCTCAAGCAGTCGTTGATCGTACATCGTGCTCAAAGCATTGGTCGCACTGAGAACACCGTACTGTCCGATTGTGAATACATTATCACTTAGGAATTTTCCAGCACCAAGAACGATCAGTGTAAATCAATGAAAATACATCGACCAATACCTATGTTAATTCAGGAGACCGCAGACGTACCTGCAATTAGTTTCAAGTGATCAGGGTGTTTCCGGAACAAACCACCAGTACCTCCAAGAGGACGAGGACGTGAAGACGCTTGGCGTCTATGTTCGAGCAACCTTAAACCCGTGCCAAACACGTTGTCGCGCGTGCACGCATCATCGCCGAAACGGTTTCCCAGACATTAATACAGCCGCGATTTGAAATTGTGCTTAGTGAGATTTTATTTTGAAAGCTTCGCAGCAAGTTCGATGCTCCGGGACGACGCCGAGGACGGTGAAGTCGGAGTCTGTGCCGGTAGATTCCATCCAGTACGACGCTTAGCGACGTAGACTTGCAGAAGTATTGTGACCAAAAATACTCACTAATTCAAAAGGCTTTTGCTTTACCCTCGAACCCGTGATATTACGATAAAAGGAACATGTGATTATGCTAGTGTAACAGTGCTTGCAAGCTCGCAGCATCACGGAGCATAACTCCGTAGAATTCTCATAGGATTCCTCGGATACATTTAACCTGAGACTCATGGGAATTCAAAGCACCACGCAGTTCATCGAAAAGTACCACCATATTATCGGTAAGCTATCCCTTGAGCCCAAAGACACTGTTCCTTTAGTTTTAATTCACGATGGACCAATTAAAAGTTCATCGTTGTCAGTTAATATTACCCCAGAGTTAAAGCCTATAAAAAGCTCAGCCGATGGTACCAGTTGATAGCCGGTTGCGGGTGGTTATAGATCGTCCCATTCGCCACTATAAATATCCAGCAAAAGATCATCGGGGACAAACGCTCGAAGAAGAAACACTAGGAAAATACAAAGAATCCACTGTCTTTTACTCATCATCTTTAAGGAAATCGCAAGCCTCGATCAGGAAGGGGTGGAATCAGTCAGGGCGCGGCTGTATATTTTAAACTATTTCGTCAGGGGTTTCCCCGTCTGGCGAGTCGAGTCGTCGAATTAACGTGGGATTAACGTCAACGGGACGCCCCGCGCACGTTCCCCTTCAACACCTTCAGATGAGTGAGCGTCTACATACGATCTTAGAGATTTATCTTCGTTCGGGAGTACAGTCATTCTTCGGGACGTTATGAGAAATCGTTAAGTTGGCGCCAGATTTGATATCGGCAATCGTTTCTTTCACAGGAGAGAGCGAATGAGAGATTACACATAAGGTTTAGTCTTGTGTCGCTATATTTAGTTTTTGTTGCTATACGTCTTTACGAGCTTTACGTGCTCTTTCCACTTGAACGACTGTACCAATTATAGATCAGTTCAATCGCTTCGATTGAAAATTTATCTATATAGCTTTTGATCAGCCGATGCAATATATATGGAATTTTTCTCAAATTAACGGTATATAGCGATTATAAAGATGATAAGAGAGAACTCGCATCTCCTGCGGAATCGTGTCCATGGATTTTTGCCAGAAACGCCAGTGAGTCAGTATGAAAAGAAGAAAAGTGGCTTATATCGTTGCCGAATTCTCGACGTGGCATTCAGACACGCTTACACTGGTAGAATCCGTCACGAGAACGTATATAAACGTCAAGGAAATTTTCTTGGATGACGTGCAACGTCGTCATATATGAATCGAGACGCCAGCAGACGCTACGAAAAGCGAAAGCGTGGTCTAGTCTTGCGTCGTTCCTCAAGGATTTTTGTCATTTGTAACAGGACCGTGACTTCTGTTACTTGTTCGCTTCATAACGCGAAATTACCACAACCTGCCAAGCCGTTTAATAATTGTCTGAACCGTCGCTTGCGTCACGCTGGGACCTGCTAAAGTTAGCAGTCATTTTGTAATGTCAATTCGCAGCGACTGGAATTCTGCCGTATAAACATTAAAACGTTGACGGAAGTGTCGCCATTGATGCTTGAATTTCATATGAATGTTCATTGTCCATAAGAAAAATCGTCCACCTTATCCTTGACACTGCTCCAGTAATTACTATTTTCTTATCCTCATACAATCTTTAATCAGTGCTCTGTGGATACTATAAATGCTGCGTCCATAAAATACAATAGAAAAATCTTTAATAATTTGAACAAATATACTTCACAAATTTCCAACGGAAAATGAATGATGATAATGATCGGCTGCCATCTTGTGAAGGGTTGTTTTCATCGTGCCGGGAGTATTCGTAGTATTTGGCATAGATCTTTGTTTGGCGAGATGGTATCGAGCTGCTGGCATGTACCGGGCGACTCTCTCTCCATAATCCATAAATAAGCACTATCCTCGTACACACGTGTGTAATGTGTATCTAGAGAGAGAATAAAACTGTTCCGTCTTTTAGACGATTCTACTGATAATAATACCTACTGGTACTACCACAATAATATAAGCAGTACTAATGGCCAGAAGTCATATCCCTAGATAGGATAGCACTGCCAGTGCACCCGATGAAAGGCCAAAGGCCTTGGGGGAGGATCTCTTATTAGATCTTGTGGAAGAAGCCAGAATTCACAAGGGATAGATCATTTTGGCAGCTCAGGTTGGTATGTATAGTTGCCGTAACTCTGTCTTCTCACTCGTTACCCCATCATCAGGATATTCTAACACATAAGTAAAGTTCACCTGTCACAATAATCATCACGATTGCAGTAGTAACAATCGATCGTATATAGTAGTATACTGTCACTATGTGAAATCTTCGAACTGTTGGTTTCTTAGTCATCATAGAATACTTGCCGTTCTGCAGTCGATAAAGATCACACTCCTAACCCCTGCAAACTCAACCAGATTTGTATTGCCATCTGGCGACTAGAAACTGAGTAAGACTAGCCTGTGTTAACTGGGCTTTACCGGCAGTAAGCTCAGTCGATGACTGCCACGCTTCTTTGGCAATGATTCAAGCAACGATAAACTCTGTCGTTTATACGAATCTCGTGCATTTCTAAGCATAATTCAGACGGTAGTCGGCACGTGTGATAAGTGCTTAAAATTCTTACTCGCTCTTAGCATGCATCCGGACAGTGGCGACGCGTTTCTACGACTTGGGAAAGTATTACGATCACGTTGCGTTCCCTCTCGTGAAGGCTTTCGCTGAGCAAAAGCTCTGGTATATAAGTCGTGCCGGTGTGCCGGCGACCTTGCGATATTTTTGCACGGCTAAAAATAATTCGCGAATTTTATAACCACCGAGCAGCGCCGATCGGCCCAGACTTCCCCAGTTTTATAGACGAACGGAGATTCCCTCGATCGATGTGAAATCACAGGGACTTTTTCATTTGTTTTATGAGGCAACACTTCGATCGAATAGCCATTACTCTTCTCTTCTTCTGTGTTTCATTGCTGTCCTACCTATACGCCTCCTCTGTACCGTTACTTCACTTACTTATTTCTCTTCTTTCCCGACAGTTTACGTCGCAATCGGTGTTTCTATCGTTAACTCCCAAAGCGAACGGAACGAGAGAGAAAAACAAAGGTAATAAGAGAAAAATAATTACCCCAAGTCATTCGATTGAAAAAAAGGTTGACATTTGTTCACGCGATAAGAAAGAAGGATTTCTACACATTGAATATCGAAGAAAAATCATTTTTTCAAATCATCCCCCAAAGAAAAGCCTTCGTCACGCAGGTACTACCGAGTCAGGATGATTGATTGCTCCCTGATACGTAAGTACATAACCTCTAAGTCAATAGTAGTAAAGTCAACAAGGTATGGAGCTGAAAGTAAAGCGAGATAGTGAAAGAAAAGGAAGAGAGAAGCGAGTGGCAGAGATCATGTGAGTCGAGGAACAGAATTAACACGGGGTGGCCAGGTTGGTATTTCTGACGCGATTGTTCGGCGAAAAATAGACGTTCGTCAGTTTGAATTAAAAGACGTTAAGGGCAATGGGGCGACGGAACGAATTGCGCGTAGTATTTTCTTATAATTATATCATTTCTTATATCATTATCATCTCCTCAGTCATGTTCTCCGCATTTTTTCTCATGCCCTCCTACTTTCTTTGCCGAAATTCAGGGATGCTGATTGTTATGGACCAATTGAGTGAGTGCACGTCACGCGGCAAGAATCGCGTGACATTCTACTGCTTATTATGACCTGGCATCGGCAGCTCACGTGACGTGGATGCAAACAAATAGTAAATACGTTTGCCGGAGCATTCGCTCGAAATAGCAGCGATCAGTCGATGACACTACGCTCTCTCGGACACCCTCTAGAGTGTCTAGAGTCTAGACTTTGAAAGAGAGAGAGAAAATTTTAGTGAATAATGCTGACTGCCAAGTTGAGCTCGTCATCGATCGGTGACGTCATTACAAAAAGAGAAAAAGAGAGCCGCAAAAACGTACTTATATACAATTTTCTCTATGACTTTCTATGACCATCATTTTCCAAATGAAATTGTTATAAATTGATATAGAAAGCGTCATTTCTCTATTAAGGTAGTATGGTAGAGTTTGACTGAAGTCAGACCAATAGCATTATAAAATTTTTTAAATTTCATAAAACAACTAGAAAAATATATTAAAAATGTGAATTTAATACTAGGAAATAATAATTATTCCGATAAATACATCAATGCATGCTGAACGTCCAAATCTGCATCGTCATTTTTTCTCTGGCGTTTACGGATGGGGAAGAGAACACGGGAAAGAGAAAGACAGCCACCGCATGCGTTTCGTTTAACAGTAATTTCTCAATAAGTATACGTTAAATGTTCATTATTTCTACAGTAAAAGCCTCAGATATCAAGTTATCTATAAATATATTCTAATACATAGTTTAACTTGCTAATTTTTGCAACAATTAAGGACATCTGACAAAATACAACCGTTTTTCCTCCATCACCTTAATTTTGCCCAACTTTAATAATTAATATCTCTTTAACTAGACGGTAAACAAATTTCATATTGCAGCCAGCAGCTGCAGCTGATTGAGCTCTGACGCTCAGGCATTGAAAAATGTAGGATCAACTTTCTGGCATAATTCTACCATACGGCCTTAAGCTTCTTTTTCTAGAATGACAAATCGCGTAAGAGAGCTATATAATAGCTTGTATCAAAGTTTTATAGCTGGCTGAAATCCGTAGAGCGAAGTTAACGTAACTTGTCTGACTTAATTTTTGTCTTCCTTGATTTAGAATTACAACCGTTTCCTGCGGAACAAAAAAGAGTTGATACGTTTCCAGAAACATATTGGCGTTCCTCGTTGAAGCAGTTTTCCATTCCAGAAGAGTGAAGGGATCTCGAGGCATTCTTTTCCTCGTTTAATAAGTTTTCCCCGCGGTTATGCCAACACCTGTGACGCTCAGATTTTCTTTGACGGGTATACGTATACCTCTCTTCTAGATTCTAGTTAACTTCTAGCAATTGAATACTCGCGCATTCGATTGTGGAAAACGCATTGGGATTCAGATGGAAAATGTTTGCGTCTTCATGACCACGAGTCAACACGACGAACGTAATACGTAACACGTGTTCCAGGAGGTTGTCAGGTGCTCGATAACGTCCTTAAGACTCACGTGAAAGGACCATTCGTATATCGAGTGATGTATTACCGATCGAGATAGACGCAAGGTGACGTCATAGAAGAGTCTGATGAAATGTTCCTTATAACAATTTTAATCCAGGTCTTAACTACCGAGCTCTTGGCACCTGACTCCACCCTAAAAGTTTACTTAACGCTTCGGAGAAGATAAATAAACTAAATCCGCGAGATAACCCGAGCGGGATTGTGAACCATCCTGGAAATATAACTTCTTTGAACTTTAATTCGGCTTGATTACATTCTTAAAATATTACGTGTTTTTTTCTTTTGGTAACAATAGATTCCTCGAAAAGTTTAATCACAACCGAAATCTCTATCTAGGATTCCCTTTGGCTCTCTACAAGCTATAGTAAAATATCGATTGAATGATCTTTCACAGATTATCAAAAATGAAAACACAGATAAGGAAAGCTTGTTATTATAATCTATTAAAAAAAAAAAGTTTCATCGACTCCCTAAAGCAGAGTTCGGATAAGGCTTGCTTGGCAGACACTTCGGCGTCCCGACGCCTGCCGACTTGCTCTTCACGCAGCTCTAAAGATAGAGTATCGGTTCATCTCAATTCCCAACCGTACCCCTAGGCATATGCCTACCTACATCTATATTATCACATTTCGCACGTATGTATTATCTCATCATCTCATCTTTACCCATACGTGACTGCGACTCTCCAGAACCGTTGGTTAAATTCTATCGAATCGAAATTCAAGCATCCCGTTAATTAGTCCCGCGTATCGGACCGTGTAAAAGCAGAAGTAATTAACGTCACGAACGGTATAAGGTGTGGCAAAAGGGATGATCGAGGATCACCAAAAGTTACTATCCAGGGTGTATATTCATACGTATCGTCTACGTAGGCACGTACCCGTGTACATACATACGTGGCTAATGTGGCACTGATTTATATCATGTTCGCGGGCCGAGTCGGGCAACCGGAGAATGAGTCTAAAAATAGGAACGGTGGATTCAGGAAATATCCCTAGGGATTGGGCAATCTCAACGAAGCTGGTCCTAAGTCACTGGCGAAGGGCTCGGCTGGGTCCAACGGCGCGATTTAAATTTAGGGCGAGTTTCGTGGCAGATATAGAAGCCGATACATAAAATACCTACCGCAAACTATAATATTTGTGTTATGGAAATAGACGACCGTGTACTCAAACGCGATCGACGCGTTTATACTCTACTTTGGTCTGAGCCTCGTCTCTTCTTATCTACGAATCGACCTCATCCTTTTCGTCCTTTGGTACATTGTCAGCTATTCGCCTGAAAATTCAAGCGTCTTTCCGTTATTCATCGTACCAATCAACGTCGGAGAACACAGCTGCCATAAGCTGGTACATGGCCAAGCTCCTGCAACGTTACGATATCGACCATCTCATTGAAGTGGTCCCTGACACTTTTATTGAGATGATAAAAATGTTGCTAGGTCGTGGTACGAATCGTGAATATTTTTTTTTCATCTATTTACGTAGCTTTCCGTCCTATCGTCGTTCGCTGCTAGAATCCGCGAAGACGTTTCTCTCGACCTTGGTACGATTTGGGATATTATTGATGAACTATTTGAAATGGGATTCCGCACTTAGAAGATAAATCGAAAAGTGGATTAACGATGGGTTATTGTTATGCTCCTGTTGTTTCCTACATCAGAGGCACAATGTCGCCCACAGAAGCAGCGAGACATAATCGCAGCAACAAGCGAGTCTCGGAATCGCGCCAACCGTTGTACCGTTTTGCTTTCTACCAGATACCTTGAGGAATTAATGTTCCAAGTACCGGGAACTTCGAACTGAGCGAAACTGTATGACGAGGCTAGAGCGTGCAAAGATAGAACGGCGCTGCTGATCTCCTCCGGCTTCCCAGCCTCCCCGCCATCCTCGATGTCTATCGTTGTCCCCCTGAGATGATCGCATCCTGCGACGATACACAATAAGAAGATTTCTCCTAATGTCGAGATAATTTAACGACAAGTGGGACTCGAATTGCTCTATTTGTTAGATTGGATACAGATCCAAAAAGGTTTTGGTGGATTCATCAACGTTCCAGACGTTCCTGGAGCGAGACGGTTCCTGGCGGCGCTGCGTGGCGCGACCTCGAGGAATTTTGCGAGCCGAGAGCGCGTTTTATTATAATCAGTTGTAAATATTATCAGTTGGCTACGGCACGTGCCCAGCTCGTTTAACTCCTTCGGCGAAAAGTCAGCCGATGAGAATTCTCCTTGGATCTGGATGCTGTTACGGGCGATGCTCTGCGAGAGGATAGAGAAGCCGAGTGGTCTATCTATATCGATAGCGATAGCTACCAGAAGATCCTAGGAAGGTCGCTCAATGGAAAGACGATCAGATGGATGGAACGGATGGAACAGATTGATTTTGTTGGTGACGGATTCTTGGTTTTACGTACGTATTGCGGCTTGAAGACACTCGACCGCCACTTAATGGAGGATCTTCGTGTTTCGTGTTGTCTAATCTTGGCCCTGAGGTCAATTGAGAGCAGGAAGAGATACTCTTGCGGGTCCGTGATGGCGAAGGAGGAGACGTACGTCAGCGGGAGACTCTGCGGCAGCGTCGACGACGGGAACGACGACGACGAACGTCGACGCCAGAAGGCGCCTAAGAGCATCGGTATTTGGCAAGCGGCTTTTCGACGTTGGCCACAGTGCGTTAGTCGGTCCCTAGGTACGCCCGAGCTTCCACCTAGCCTATGACTTGGGTCCGTCTGATCCTGAGAGCGAAGAAACGAATAAGCGAAGAAGCGAGTGGCCGTAGATGAGGAACGGGAACGGGAAAGGGGAGCGTAAGCGGTTCAAACACTGACAGAGAAGGAGAGGGACGCTTTTAGACACGGAGCGTCCACGACGACGTCGCGCTGCCCTGAGCAGTAGTCGCGTACCTTAGCCAGCTTCCACCTTACCGGCTCGCGAGTTACACGGCTCCGCGGACTCGGTCTCGCCTCTCCTTTCCTTGGACATTCCTTGGGATAACGCCCTCGCGATCGGCGACCTTAGACTCTCTTGAACTGCGACAGGGTCTCTGACGTAAGGAGGTCAAGGAAGCAGCCGGTACCCACCTTGATTTCCACAGGGGATCGAGGCACCCTGGAAGGTGAAGAGACGAGGAAGTAGCTGAAGAGTGCAGAGTGAAGGGTACTGAGTGTAAAGTGCAAGGGTGCGAAGATCGTATGTCCGGGACTGTGTCGGGATGCTGGGAGAGCTGATTACGGTGTTGGGTAGTGAAAGGTAGTGGTGACGGTGACGGTGCTGGCGGATCCGACGCCGTCGGTACAAGTGCTTGTAGTGGATCGTGTCCGTGACTGGTGGTTCTGGTGGCTGTGGAAGTGGCGGCGATAACGGGATCAAACTACTGGAATGATAGGAGGTGGCCATCGGACTGTGCCCGAGGGTCCTCGTTAAGGAGAGGCCGAGAGTAGTGGGTCCAGGTTGACGTAAACGTCCACGAAAGTGGTACGTGTGGCAAAGCGGGAGGACGGGGGCGCAACGATGGCGGAGCGTCTTGGCGCCGCTGGCAGAAGACGCTCCCGTCGAGATAGCAATGAGGCCGGAAGTTCCGCCCGGGTAGCTCCCCCTGCCTCCAAGGACAAGAGGACCAAACGCTCGACCAAACCGACCAAGGAACGATGGCTGCTCACGCGGAAAACGTGGCGCTACATGGCCGACGCAGGGCGAAAACTCATTCCAGATGGCGTCCACAATCGTCCGGAAGACATACCCAAGATAGAGCAGTACTTTCAGGAAGTGTGTCAGAAGGAGCCAAAGTTCCTTTTATGGAGGAAGGCTTCTTATCCTGGTTCGGTAGGCCTTCGCTCGCATGGACGTCGAAGGCATTTAAAAGGCGGAAGCTGTCGGGTCAAGGCAAGTTCAGCTGACGAGGCTGACGATGTCAGGGGTCCGACTCCGTCCTTTCTGCTTCAAGCCACTTCCGGTGGTAGGTTCGACGTTACCAAGATGAAGCGGGAATGGCTATCCGGGGCTGGTGGTCCAGGTACTGGGGGTAGTACCCCGACGACTCCTGTAGCTCAGAGAAAAGTCATCCAGGAAGACACGGAGACCAAAGCCCTTGCCGATATGCTTCAAAAGTACTTGAATATGCAAGGAACGTCCGGTGCTGACTCTACTTCCACGTCGGCGCCAAGACCCACTCCGGATACTAATTACCTTAGCAAATCATCCGAACCGTTTGATTATCAGAATCTTATTGACAAATTGCAACAGCATCTAGATCTCATTATGGCGCCGGGACGCCGGGAAGAAACTCGAGATTACGGTAGCGAGGTAGGAGTACCAAAGTCCATGCTACCTTACCAGGGTGACTACGTTCATAAATCCTTACTAGAGACACTCAGCAGATACTATAGCAAGTCCCCGAATAGGGAACACGTAATTTCTGATATACTAACAGACAGAAAATTGTTAGAGAAATTGTACTTTGACCTGCGCTGCACCAGAGGATTCAGAGGTCCAAGGGCGACCGGAGCATACACTTCGCCATCCGGTCACTGGCGAGGACTTCCGCGTAACCGTGCAGGTGGGACCTCAGCTCAGAAAGATAGCAGCGACTGGACGCCTCGAAGGAGGGATCTGACTTCGCCGCCTCCCTTAATCGCTGTCCAGGGACCTAGTACCGATCGCGGCCCCGTCGACGATGGGACCCAAACAGATCCTGTACCACGTTTAGTCTTAGAATCGTTACTCCTCGAGAAGGAACGTGAAAGAGAGGATTCTGTAAAAGCGTCTGACCAAGTAAAAGGCGCTGCGGGTCGTCGAAGAAGTAGCGTCGACAATGATGACGTCTCGCCGTCAGTGAGCGACACGATAAAGAGATACCTCAGGATGGCGCGAAAGAAGTCGATGGACGCTGACAGAGTGGACAGATTCCGTCGCGTGAACTATGACAGAAATTTGCGGAACATACGTGCCAAGGGAGAGATCAGTAAGCCGGGCGATGACGAGGGTAACAGTAAGGGTTGTCAGACCGATGATAACTGGATGGTGAACTATCGTGAAATGTCGGAAGGCGGCGAGAATCTCTCGGACGCGGAAACGACGTCGCCCGGAAGTCGAAATGCGAGTTCGCGCAGTAGCATTGATGCCGGCCTAGGCTCCGAGGAGCCACCCTCGACCCCCAAGCAACATCAGTCCTTTCTGTCCCATCTCCTTCACGGTTCCAATGCGAATAAGGATAAACCTCACTCGGCACCCGGTTCACCAGCTCTCACGTCATCCAATTCCGCAGGTGGCTCCACGATGCAGAAAAGCAAGTCGTCCAGCAGCGTGGTGCATCATGGGAGTAGGCTCGTCGCCAAGAAGATCTGGAGATCCAGGAGTAAGAGCACCTCCAGGGTATCGAATCAACCGTCGGTCTGGACGCCCCAGGTGAGCTAAATAATTTTTATTACTTTTTATTAAACATCATCTCCAACGAATCAAATCCCACTTTCTGATCAGTTCTATGTATAATATAAATCCCGCCCCTTCTGTACCTTCTTAGGAGTATTCTTACTCTTTAAACGCAACACGCGTTATCCTGAGAACGTATATACAGGGTGTGCCGAAAATATACGTCGAACAACTTTGGATACGCTCGTAAGTAAAATTTGATGTTTTTCAAATACTGGGCCAAAGGGTTAGTTCAACAAACACAGCGCACGGGAGATTAGCAAAATATTCGAGATATCGTTTTTCTCTCATAACTCGTACCATCTTGATGTTTCTCAATTTTTTTTTATAAAAAAAAAAAAATACCGTTGAACCAACAGAAAAGTCATGCAACATTTTTCATTTTACTTGGCGGCCATTCGTGCATTCCCCGAACAACCAATACGAACCAGAAAAGTATCTCCCGCCGAAGACGATTTCGTACGATCGTCCTGAAACATTTAATTCTCCCTCATTTTGGGACTTATTTTGTTTCAGGGTAAGTGCACGTGGGCCGGCGCTAGCGGACGTAAAGTGACGCTCCAGGATACGCCGTTACGCGTCCTCTCCGACGTGGAACGTAAAGTCCTTTGTCAAGTAGCCGTAGCGAAGCTTCAAGCCCTAAATCTTGGCGTACACATCAGGCCTCCTAACGGTGAGTCAGAAGGAGGCGGAAAATTTAAACAATATCTTTAAGACAATATCTCGTAAAGATTCTTTTAGTGGGTAAAACGTTTCAGTGCCGCTCGGCATCGCTCACAATTTTCACTGATTGACGTGTTTATGCTCGCAAGGGCTCGTTAGCAAGATTTCACCGTCTCAGTCCTCTTATATACTCTCTCAGTCTATTTTCCAGCTTTCCTGTTTCGCTATCCGTCAACAAGATTCGTCTTCTAATATGTACAGAAGACTTTTCTGGCATTTAATAAGTTTCTCTAATGATGTTTCAACGCGCCGATCATAGCCGACGCTCGAGTTAACCTAAAAGTCCAACATCCTGGATACCTTATGTAGGTAAAGGCATAACCTGCATAGGTACAAAGCGGTTCGTACGAGGAAAAACATTTGTTACGCATTTACGTGTAATGAAGAATGGCTGCCTTTTACCTGTACTAACGCTCTTCATACCTTTTACATAGGTTAACTTTCGTGCCAAGACTCTTTCCTCTTGATAGACGCCTCGAGCCTATGTCGGGACGCCGAAGCCGAGGATAAATCGTGCGGATGCTCCTTTCGATCGCTATATTTAGACGGATCGCGGTTCCGTACAAAAATACGTACGAGTGTTTTCGGCTCTCTCGTTGTTCCCAAAGACGAGGATCCCCTATTCTTGGCACATCAAACATTCGTATACAAAATTCCACATGAGCAACAGTCCAAAATTTTACTGACGATCATTTTCACTTGACTCATTGACGTGTCGATTCGAGTGCCGATTATTACACGTTGCTTCAATTTCTTACAGAGACACTCGGTGGATCGGTCACTACAAAGCCTAAGAGACGAGCTTATCTTCTCAAGAGAAAAGCACTGACCACAGGATTTTTTGATAACAAGGGCAAGGATGACAAGGATAAGGGTGAGTCAACTGTAAAATAAGTATCAAGTGTGCTCTATAAGTAAATCATCAGTGATATCTTCAAAATAGCCTAGGTCAGGGTAATGGTAATTAAGGTTGACCATTTTATACGAGAGTGTAGTTGACATATGTACGTCACGACGAGTATAGATCAGAGTGACACGTGGTCGAGGAACTTGATGAAGGATCAGAAATGAGAAGGATTCCAGTTGTCGATGACTACTTATCCTTATTGCATATCCATCTAATGAGTGCGAGAATGAGGATAGAGCGAGAGAGATGAGAAAGAGGAATTTGCTTGCTGGCACTCATGAACGAGTCAGCTAGTGAAAATAAAGAAAGACAAAAATTGTCGCACGCGGTATCTCAATGCTCGTTGCTCATTTTTGTCATGCAGAATTTTTTTATCACACTAAAACCCACTAACGAAACGTATGGGGTTTATTTCTGCTCCTGGCAGAAGTTGAATTAGCTAAGCCTGCACGACAGGCAGCTCGCACCACGCCAAACTACTCTTCCAGCAATAGCCAATCCACGACTATTTATAATCGTGCCGAATAAAAGTTCAATCTAATCCTCTAGATTTTTTTTTATAGGTGGAATTAGCACAGATCGAAGATCGAACTTTTATCGTTATATCGATAGGTCGTTATATCTGTCGATAGATCGAGTCCAGGATAATCGTTACTTTTTACGTCTCCAGGCTCAATTTCTCTCGTATGAAAACAATCGACGAGTCAACTTGTATTTCGGTGCCGACTAGTCGGGTTGCTACTGTCAATCCTGGAACCAGCTGACAATGCTGATTGTCATTGCTGAACGTAACTATTCGAAAATTCTTTGGATAATACTTCGGATTATTTGCTCTTTTCTTATGTCAACGTCCAAGGGAGTGTCACTGGGAAATTATTGGATACCAATAGCTATTTTGTTTTGACGTTAACGCGCCAGACTTATTTCTGTTATTGATCACACTCGTATCCTTCGCTATAGGTTCCAGCATGAACAAACAGTCGGTTTCATTAGGGTAGGGGGGGGGAAGCTATTTCCTACAGCACATATATATACTCGTTCAGTGCGGCACTTGTAGACCTGTTTGCAAAGCACTCGGTCAAGAAACAGAATGAAATCCGGAATAAATGGGAAAAAAGGAAGGTAAATTCACCTTGGCATGATAAGAATGAACGATTTCATGATGACAGGTTACAGGATCAGGTTTCATGTCAGATGGATGATGATTTTCTGGATAGTGAGAATCACCTGTAAGAGTCGTATTTGAGAATGAAAATTGTACAATGACAACGAGGTGGATGACTACGTCACAAGCCCCTAATTCTTTTAGCAGAGAGGAACCTTAGTCTGGGTGCACACTCTCCGAGTATAATAGCATCGCCCGGGCTGGTATGAGACACAATTTCGCTATCTAATATTAGCCCTGGGGTGCTTGGGAGTGGTGCATATTTCCGCATATACCGGGTTTATTTGCGGTCCATGCTACGAGTACGCACAGCACGGTCCTAGCGATCCGTAGACGTTCTCCATGTCAATCAGGATTCTCCAAAAGGCTAGGCCACTCGTACGAGTTACCAGTGGCAGATGACATCGGTAAGAAGCTCTAGGGGATGGTACCGCATGATTCATTCAAGGGTAAAAAAGAATGAGGTCTCGCGTTATGCTCTCGAGGATGTTCCTGGCGATGTCCCCGTTGTCCCCACTGCAGCCAACGCACTAAGAACTCGGATGGCCCAGATTGCGTTCTATAATCAGACGCACGGGGCATCATTCGATGGGTCTTCGTAATGGCGACTTCGCGATGGCTAAGCATCGTCTGCATACTTGAAGAAGCCCACCTGTACCTCTGTAACTCCCTGTCCATAAGCTTCTTCAGGGGCAGCTAAGTATATTTAATTATAATAAAATACTTTGATGTGCACAGAATCCGCTGGTGGTCTGGTATTTGGAATTCCGCTGTCGCAGTGTCTGGAGAACGACAGACTAGCGAGAATCGCCGCCGGGGAGGTCGTCGACGTTGGGAGTCTGACAAGGAGCAGCAGACACGGAAGCCGGACGAGTTTTACCAGCCTGATCGAGACGCCATCAAGCGTCGCAGCTAAAACGGAAGAGGTTGGTGCAAAGCTCGAGTGTCTCTAGAAGAAAAGGGATCGAGTTTCTTACATAACCTCCAAGTAATAATCTAAAAACAGTCTCTCCATAAAGATCTTAACTGCTCTGTCTAAATGCTTTATACGCAATGGGCACGTAGATACACGTGTTCGCCAGCCAGTGCCTTCCAAGCTACTTCGGCATCATCATCCCACTAGCTTCTGGTTTAATACGCAGCAACCTCAGTCATTCCTAATACGTCATAGTCAGAACGACGAGTAAGACATTAGCCATGACGACACGACGTCTCGACGGTAAGACACGCCGCCGTTCCCGCACGTCGAGTTCTCCCACCTAAATTAGACTAGACTAGTAGACGATAAAAGAGAGAGAGAGAGAGAGAGAGAGGGAACTTCTCATCGTACATAGGCTCGTCGCGTACCTATATCTAGATACCTCAAAGGTGGTCTCTTCTAGGAGCGACTTTCATCTGGCTGGCCAGTTGTACTTAAGCAAGACGTCGCTCGCATCAGAGCTGATCCCATCACATGAGAGAGTTAGAGAACGAAGAGAGGAGAGACTACGAGGGACGTTGTTGCGTGCAAGTGGTTATTTTTCGCACGTCATACGTCACCAGACTAAATGGTGTCTATATAATCCCTGAGCTAGTACGCGAGCATCCCTCGAACGTCTCTCGGTTACACTATTAGACTGAGATGGACAGGCTGATGGAATAAACGAACGGCAGAGTGAAATAAAATTCTCTCTTTGCCAAGATCTCAAGACCGGATTTAACTGGCGAATAATTAAGAGCCCTGGCACTTGTTGTAAGAGCCCTAACTTGTTTTCCTCGGACTGCTGACGATGAGAAGGGCGGGAGGGAGAGGGAGGGAGAGGGGGAGGGAGAGAGAGCTTCTCTTGATATTTTTTAGCATTCGAGTCGTATGCTTTCGCGCCACGATGCACCCGATGCTATTTGCGTCTTAAACTTTTCAAAAGCTGCCCACTTCCTGGCCGACCGTCATGTATTTTTGTATCAGCCTTCCTCGTACCTCTACTTATGACAGAGACGTTCTTTCTTTTGTCACTTTATTTCCAGCCTCTGGAAATATCCATGTCCAAACAATGCCTCCATAAATATCGAAATCCAACGGAAAGGTGCCATTTATTCGCCGGTCCGTACTTTCTGCCACGATACATTAACTGCGGATCTCTAGAATTTTCCAAAGCGTAAAAAGGTTCCCGTTCGCGTGGGAAGTGGAAAATTCCCTTCTACGTTTTAGGTTAAGTCCCCTCGTAAAATATTTTCCCACGTAGTAGCACCTTATCGGTTCGATAGGCTACAACGATTTAATCTTACGACTGAGTCATTGAAAATTTATGAAACTTATACAGCTGCTTAGATGACTTCCGAAAGAGCTTGTATAGAAGTGTATGTGGGAGGACACGTGGATTATTGTGTGCTAGAGGGGAGGAGACCATCCAGTCCTCCGTTTAATTCTCTCCCGCGTAAATGGCTCATAGGGATCCTGTCAACATCTCGAGGATATTGCATGTGACAAGTATGACAGCCGGGTTGTCACTGTATCACGGCTCTTCTGTCCTCGGAAATTGGCAGAGAGTTGCAATCCTACGTGGTTTCAGTGTAGGGTCAATATCAGTGTGCGATCAGAAAGACGTGTAAGCGTTTCGCTTCGGAAAAATAACGGGGATATATCCTGGAGACTTATATATACATATATGGGGTTTTAGGATGAGATCGGGAGGAATTTCATGGGATTTGTCCAGCATGGATTATTAGGCAAAGTAAATGTGTAGTAAATCAATCGGAGACTAAAACCGGTTGCCACGGTCTTCCTTTGAGCCAGCCGAGCGACAGAACTCCGTCGGCCTTTCCGTCGCCGAGCTGCAGCTCGTACGTCACGCGAGGCTCACGCCGCGGTGACGTCATAGATCAGAGACGTAAATAGAACAGGGCCGAGAACGCTAATTTTATCCGTGGATTAATTAAGAACGCTCAATTTTGCAAGAGTTTCTATTTAACGGGAACGCGCGTACGTGCGTGCCTTTTTCTTTACGCACGAGTATATATATATATATATTACGGAAGTCTGAGAAATTGGAAATTGCACTTAGAATTTGATTATTATTTATAGCTGTCTTATTGACATAAACTCGGCACGTGATTAAGTATCGTTGCACGAGATTGTACATGGACTCACGTGACTTTCCGGCCCGATTGCTTTTTCAGGGTGGCTCCTCCGAATCCTTGTCATCGAAAGGTGGCGGGGCTCAGACCGGAAGTGACTCTGGAGGATTGGAATTGAGTGACAGTGGAGGTGGAGGTCCTCCTGGTGAATGGGACGCAGTTCCAGGAATAGTGCAGCAGTGCATCAAGCATCTGGAGGCTACCGGAATGCACACCCTGGGTGTTTTCAGAGTCTCGCCCTCGAAGAAGAGGGTGAGACAATTAAGGGAGGATTTTGATTGCGGCAGAGAGACCAGAATTGGACCGGATCAGTGTCCGCACGACGTTGCGGCGCTTCTCAAAGAGTACTTCCGGGACCTTCCCGATCCTTTACTGTGTAGAGATCTCTATCAAGCCTTCGTGCATACTCAGAGTGAGCGCTTACTGTTTGATATGTTTGTGACAGCTGGATTTAAACATTTCAGACGTTTCTATCGTCTACTTCTGCACTGGATAATTCGTGATATTTCAGAGATACGAAACAGGAGATTACAGCAAGAAGCGCTACAGCATCTGATTCAGCTGCTGCCAACGCCAAATCGCGAGACCCTCTGGGCTCTTTTGAATTTTCTTAGTGATGTAGCAGCCAACAGTGATGATCGCAAAGATGAAACGGGCGAATGGATACCCGGCAATAAAATGGATGCTACTAATCTGGCAACAGTGAGTCTGATCTGCCTGTACAGTGTCTAGCTGATGATGAATAATGCTTGAAGGTCTACAATATTATTCAAATGTTTTAGGTTTTCGCGCCGAATATTCTCCACTGCGTGAAGCACGGACAGACGCGGCCTGAGGTCTCGGCGGAGCGAGCCGAGGAGAGGATCGACGTGATAAACGTGGTGAGAGCACTTCTGGAGCATGCGCCGACCCTCTTCACGGTTCCGGCAGCCCTCCTGGATGAGCTCTACCTGCACATGATGGACACGCACCCGGTGGACCTGGACCTGGCCCTCACGCGCCGTGCCGAGGAGTAAGCGAAGGACGAAGCCCCGTGTCGGCGTGCGAAATTGACTATCGCGAGAACCGATTCGCGAGAGACTGAAGGCCGGATAGAAAGAACGAGTGGGTCTATCTCTCTTGCAGGCAGTGCGCCGATGAGGTCGACCCCTGCAGCGAGGCCGAGACCTTCTCCGTGGAGGAGACCATTGCAACGCGAAAGCTCTGGACCCGGGAGCAGTGTATGCATCAGACGGCCGGTGTCGGTGGTGACATCGGACCCAGGCCACGTAGACCAAAGAGACCAGGATCCCGACGGAAGGAAGATCAGACTAGAAGCAACAGCGTGGACAGCGGCTCCAGCGAGGATCCCACAGATCCTAGGAGACGATCTTCGCCCATGGTCATTACCGCCAGCCTCACGATACCCATGTCTGGGGCGTTCACCTTGAACCTTGATGACCCGGATATACCTTATATCGAGGAGGCGCCTAAGCAACCTAGTGCACCGCCCAGGAGGCAAAGGCAAAGGTCCATCTCAGGATGTAGCGAAGGTGCGATGTCGATTAATAGGACTTTAATATTAGTGTGTGCCGTTATTTATTCTTTCATGATATTCTGCTTGCTTCTTTCCCTTCAGGTGGTAGACATGGGAGTGACAGCGCCGTCGGCTCCTCGGCGACACTTTCCGGTGATCAGCCGCCCAGCTCTCCTCCTTCCTGGGCCTCGAGCCCACCTGCAAGTCCTGATAGCGCCGTCACGGCTGTTTCCTACATACCAGATCATCATGCGGTCCTCCAGAGGGTTTCCTTTACGACCTCGAGCGAGGTTCGTCAGATCTCCAGGTCTACTAGTCAAAGCACCTCACAAGAGACCACTTCCAAGAACCTCAGCGTCGTCGGGAACGTACCAGTGAGCATTCTTACCAATGCGACTTCTGCTGTATCCACGGGTCCATATACTCCCAGCATCACCAGTATCGGGGGCGCGGTTCTCAGGTGAGTATATCAATCTAATTAAGTTTACCTTTAAAATTCATCAAACTATATTAACTTTGGTGTATCCAGATCGAAAACCGCGGACATCGAAAGGATGCTACATATCTCCAGACCGGACAAAGAAGTTAGTTCGACGGCAACAGCTTCGACAACAACGACGTCAACCTCGTCATCCGACAATAAGAAGTACACCAAGAGACGCTACACAGACTCGCGGCATCAGACACGACACATCCCCGACGCCGAGACGCTCGCAGGCACAAAAACAGCACAGCCAACAACGCCGGTACTAAGTCAAAATCTAGTGCAAAGTAGTCAGAGGACAGGCGTCGGTGCAGCACCTGTTTGGAAGCGTCGCGAGCTTATATCCAGCGCGCCCAAAGACAGGGAAGGCTACTTCTAGCATGGAGCCGGCGAGAGCGACGGATACCCTCGCGCGAGTACCGTGTTCACCGCGATCTTCACTGTGGTCGAAGGTCGTAGGTCATAGGTCAAGTCAGGAAGACGACTGCCGTAAAGATAGCCGGACAAATAAAGTGAAACTAAAAATCTGTGCGTGGTGGCAAACGCGGACACTCCGTTGGTTCCTAGTTTACCGTCCTTGCGTTTCCCAGCCCTTTACGAGGCATTCCTTTTTTCTGGATACACGTTCACAAGGCCGCGGAGGCGCACGCCAAAAGCCAAACAAGAGTTCCACTCGTTCCTGTGCTCGAGAGGGAGAGAAACAAGAAGAAGAGGAGACAAAAGAGAAGAAAAAGCCAAAAAAATTAATTCAAGAAGAGTGGAGTAGAAGGCAAAGCGGATTCCTCGATTCGAAGACGCCGTGCGTCCGATATTCCTCCTGGTGAGGAAGGACTCGGAGTCGTCGAGATGTATCGGATCGGGCTCGATGCCACTCGCGCTAAAGTAACACTCGTCGTTAAGTTTTTAACCTGTAAACCGAATGAATAAATATTAATTTTCTACAAAGATACAAAAATCGATCCCACGAACTTTCATTATTTTAGGTACGAACGCATTTATTGAGTCTCAACTTTGTATTGACTTTACAAAAACACAACGGATTTACATAATATCTATACATGAGTACTCCCTTCCGTGGTCACCATTTATATTTCCATATATTTTTTCTCGATATCTCCACCATTCGTATTTCATCTCCTCCTTTCTGTATTTATAACATACATATATAAATATATATATAGAATCTATATCAGCAGAGAGTACTCGAATTGCTCCGATTGTTACCAGCTAAGTCCTAAAGACGTGGTAAGGCGTGCTTATTTACAAAGTTCCCCTCCACTCGTAAAATCCATACTGTCGCCAGAAAAATTCTAAAGGACACTTCTCGAGTTTATCCAGTTATCCGAAAAGCTCTTGAACTGCAAAGTCGATCTTCTTAATAAAATTCGGATACATACATTTTTCCCGATTCCTAGGAGTATTCGCTAATGGAATCGTCCAGTTGGAATAAAACGTATATAATAGGAACGAGAAAAGCTGAACAAGTATAAATGATAGCGAATGGACAGAGATGAGTATAAAGGACGTAGAGTGGAACAGGATAATTAATTACAAGGACAACAGCGAACGAGTATAAATTGTTTCAAATTAGAAAGCAACGCTACATAACGTTTCCGGCTAAAATCATATTAGTTTGCGCGATGAAATAAATATATATATATATATATATATACGCATAATACTTAAGACAATAAGAAATGATTAACAATTTGCCCGCAATTCGCGACCGTATACGAGACCTACTCCGGTAGTCATATTAGTTTGCGCGATGAAATAAAT